CCCCCCCCTCCAAAAAATAACAAAGAAATAGACATACAATTTTTTTAATATCTGTAAACATTATATTAAAAATGCAAAAGATTTTAAAGATAATTAAATAATTATTCAAGTATGGGACTTTTACAGGTGTCCCACGAAACATGAAAGTTGAAAGATGGCTTGATAAATTCGTCTTTGATCGATGAAATTATTTGCAGCATTCACTCGTGAGCCTATTTTTTATTAAATTATTCTTGAAACAACTTTTACTAAATTCCATAATTGCTAATCCTTAAATTTGATTGGAAACTAATATTCTTTAACCAAGCTAAGAATATTCCCGTGGTTCTACCGAGTTCCTTAAATTCTTTAACCAAGCTAAGAATATTCCCGTGGTTCTACCGAGCTCCTTAAATTCTTTAACCAAGCTAAGAATATTCCCGTGGTTCTACCGAGCTCCTTAAATTCTTTAACCAAGCTAAGAATATTCCCGTGGTTCTACCGAGCTCCTTAATCCAAGTTAGAGTCAAATCGGTCCAGGGGTTCCTAAGTTATGAATAGACAGATAAACAGAGATTACTACTTTATATATAAATGTCATATTTTATCTAATCTAATTATGTTAGAAAAGAGTTGAAATTTTGCCACTAACACAATTTCTCTAATCCATATATCTTTTTACATTGATGGCTGAAACCTTTAACATTTTAAAGTTAAAATATTTGATCTTTATGGTTTGAAATATCTAAGGTCTATCACATTGGGTTGCAAAGATATAGGTATTAAAACACCAAACTTTGTGGAAAAAAATCAGTTCATTTGCAAGCAAATCAACGAAAATTACAAGAATCGGTCCCGATTTTTTCTCGGACAAAATGTTCTGTATTAGACTGAGGAGAATGGAGACCCCCTATGGACGTCTCATTGAAGACCCCCAGATTCTCGATGGAGACCCCCCATGTTTTCTCGTTGGAGACCCCACATTTTCATTGGAGACCCCATATTTTCATTGGAGACCCCATATTTTCATTGAAGACTCCATTTTTCTTGGAGACCCCATATTTTCATTGGAGACCCCCAGATTCTCGATTGAGACCGCAATATTTTCATTGGCACCATATTTTATTTGAAAACCCCCAGATTCTCGTTGGAGACCCCATATTTTCATTGGAGACCCCATATTTTCATTGAAGACTCCATTTTTCTTGGAGACCCCATATTTTCATTGGAGACCCCCAGATTCTCGATTGAGACCGCAATATTTTCATTGGCACCATATTTTATTTGAAAACCCCCAGATTCTCGTTGGAGACCCCCATATTTTCATTGGAGACCCCCAAGAATTTCATTGGAGACCCCAAGATTTTCATTGGAAACCCCACATTTTCGTTGGACAACCCCATGTTAAGGGGTCCCCAATGAAAATCCCAATAAAAATCTTGGGGTCTCCAATGAAAATATAGAGGTCTTCAACCAGAATCTTGGGGTCTCCAACCTGAATCTGGGTGTCTCCAAAGAAAATATGGGGTCTCCAATAGTACTCCAATGATGTTGATTTCTTCCTAGCAGACTCAATCAGCGATTTAGCGAGATAACAATTCTCTCAAAAAAAGAAAAAGAAGATTTATTATTTATTTACATTGAAATCATTTACAAATGGATACTATTGATAATGAAAAGAAAACAGCAAGAGATAAAATATTCACATTTAAGAATAAATATTTTGTGCTGATACATTTAACATACTGTAGATACATTTAACATACTTTAGATACATTTATTTATTTAAATACATTGTCCACAGGTTGTAATACCAGCTAGTAAAGTATTCCTTTATCGGTAAAAAGAACACCGATTGTCAAAAGATTCTTTAACATTTCCCAGATGTTCATATTGTAACAAAAAATTTTAAACTTTATGGAAATTTCTAGAAAAGGTAATATTGTCTTGACACGAATCCAGCCAGCTAATATTATCGGCATAGAACTTGCTACTGGGTACACTGGAACGTGCTACTGGTACACCGGAACGTGGTACTAGGTACACTGAAACGTGCTACTGGGTACACTGGAACGTGCTACTGGTACACCGGAACGTGGTACCGGGTACACTGGAACGTGCTACTGGGAACACTGGAACGTGCTACCGGGTACACTGGAACGTGCTACTGGGTACACTGGAACGGCTGGAACCAACATAAACGCATACACAGTATGATAATTTTAGACTGGTCGGTCCATGGATCAATTTATAGGGATTGACAACATTTATGTAAAAAATTCTTTTATTCGGATGACACTGATCTAAAAAATCACATAACACGGTAACACCACAGATCAGGTAGACAAGAGGCAGCGTTGATGGGACCGCCCTATCCATGAAGCACGGACGGGATTTATTAATCATACAGCTACATATAGCAGTATCTTTCGCACTGTCCACTAAACGCTACTTTATATTCGGTCACAGTACTACAAATTACTGCAGAATGTACCAAAAGCTTAGTTGAGGGTGTTTAAATCAATCAATCAATCAAGGTGTATATTTTGGGGTTTTTGAACATGTTATCTGCACAAAAACTCTCCAAACTGGGCTCAGTGGTTCTGGTCCGGGGAGGGAGCGCGGCTAGAACTCGGTATCAGTAATTAGAGAAATACAAATATTTTCTTTCTTTAAGCCCATTGTGCATTTTACATGAACATTGCGGTATTGATAACTTTCACACGACACATACCGACAGGTCAGAGGCCAGGTACGCGTCAACTCTGCCTCTTTGTCTACCTGATCTGTACTTTACAGTTCAAAATGCAAGTGTTTACAATATCAAAAATGTACTCAGGTTGCAAGAATAGAAGGTACACAATTGGACATCTCGGCCTAAAAAACATAAAAAATTATAAATTTTTTGAATTAAATGAAAAATATGTTAGATCAACAGATTCATAATACCGGAGAACGAATTTAAAGAATTTGAGCCGCGGCTTAAATTTAAGCTTAAATATGGTTGGTTCCACTGAAAATTGTATTAAATTTTCAAGATTTAAGCTGGCCTCAATTAAAACCGGTTTTTGGGGGATTTTAGATGCCGCTTAAATTCATTGAATTCGAACACGGGTTATACCCACAAAATATGAGACCTGAGAGACGACTATGCTTAATTCATGACATTTTTTACTTAGATACTTGTTTAGTTTCCTTCAGCTGTAAACTTAACTCTTTTATTTAAACAATGATTTCATGTACCAACTATTCAAGACTTGACCTTCATGCTTAAAAAGTTTAAGGTCGTCATTAAAGTCTAATCCTTTGTCCTCAGGCGCGCAACTAGGGGGGGCCAGGCCCCCCTAGCCTGATTAAGGGGGGGCATGCCCCTCCCTTAGGAAGTCTTGCCCCCCCCCCTGTAGGGGGGGGGGCAAGAAGTGACGAAGTCCACCCTGTTTTGCAATTTAGGGATTCATGAATCCTGACCCTGAGGAAATTTAAGAGCTCTTATCGTAAAATAAAAAAAGATAATTGAACGTTAGTTTATTGAGCTTATAGTTCAATCGATATAGCACTTAATACACCATATACACACACACAGACCCCCTTCGTCTCCGTGCCTAACTACTGCCGTAGATCAGAACAGGTTGACAAGGTTCCAACTTGCCTTAATCTTTGTTTTTTTCATTATGCTGTTTTTTCCTGGGAAAGGGAAAGGGGGTTTATGAAGTATTTTTTAGATATTTTCACTATCAGTTCTGCCACTTATTATGATATTGGTTTAATACTGTATTACAACTATTAAATTAATCCTATACATGTTCACCGCAAATATTGTGTGATGTGTCATATTATAAAAAAAATTTTTTATGTAAAATCATGAATTTTTAATGAAAGGCATTTCTTGCCAGTTTTTGAGTACAATGTACATATTTGATTTATGGATAACTAATGAAAATTTATGTATTTTAGGAATTGTAAATTCATCAATAAATTTGCAATAATTGTAATTGTATATCTGCTAAACGTTTTCTTTTATCAGTAAAAGAAAATGTTCGAAAAGTGTAAAAAAAACTTTTTTTAAATACTATGCAATTCCCTCCTCCCTTTCCAACTCTTGTGGCGATGATATGACATGGGCTAGACTGCAAAACATTTAAATTTTAGTCACCCAGAGGACTCCAAAGATTGCAATCTTTTTTGGTATTGTTAGCTAATAATTTCTTTTGTGCAGCATTGCAGAAAATGCGGATTTTTAATCATTCATATTGTGCAGTATATATCAACTTGTTATTATCTAGGTTTGAAGAAATCAGCAGCTCTATATTGTGAAAACAGGGTGGACTTCCATTTTTCTTGCCCCCCCCCCCCCTAAAAATGTTTAGGGGGGGGCAACAAATTTTTCGTGCTTCGCGCGAAATATTTCCCACTAGCCCCCCCCTAACCAAATGTCTAGTTGCGCGCCTGGATTGTGGGTAACCCTAAATATAAAAAAAAAACAGAATCCTTATTGATAGACAACAGAATTTAACCTTTAAAACAAATTATTCTGAAGTTAATCTCATCATAATAATTTGACCCAAAGGTCTTTGATCTGAAGGATTTATATCAGATTCCTACTTTTTTTCACAAAATTGTGCAATCTGATCTGAAATTTTGTCAAACTAAAGATAGAAATGATTTTAAAATATTTTTGATCGAGTTGATTAAAAAAGGACAAGTTTACCTTTAGGCAACACTCTCATGCTTATTGTTTGGTATTAGATACCCATTCTCCTCCTTAGTTTCATCTTTATTGACAGGAGACCTAGAGTAATATATTACTAGGTATTAGATACCCATTCTCCTCCTTAGTTTCATCTTTATTGACAGGAGACCTAGAGTAATATATTACTAGGTATGAGAAACTCATTCTACTCCTTAGTTTCATCTTTATTGACAGGAGACCTAAAGTAATATATTACTAGGTATGAGATACCCATTCTCCTCCTTCGTTTCATCTTTATTGACAGGAGACCTAGAGTAATATATTATTAGGTATTAGATACCCATTCTCCTCTTTAGTTTCATATTTATTGACAGGAGACATAGAGTAATATATTATTAGGTATTAGATACCCATTCTCCTCCTTAGATTCATATTTATTAACAGGAGACCTAGAGTAATATATTACTAGGTATGAGATACCCATTAGATAATTACCTTATTTTAACCGGAAGTAGATAATAGCCGGATTTTAACCGGAAGTAGATAATAGCCGGATTTTAACCGGAAGTAGATAATAGCCGGATTTTAACCGGAAGTAGATAATAGCCGGATTTTAACCGAAAGTAGAGAATAGCCGGATTTTAACCGGAAGTATATAAATACCTTATTTTAGCCGGAAGTAGAAAATAACCTGATTTTAACCGGAAGTAGATAATAACCTGATTTTAACTGGAGTTAGATAATTAGCTGATTATAACCGGAAGTAGATAATAACCTGATTTTAACCGGAAGTAGATAATAACCTGATTTCAACTGGAAGCAGATCATTACATGATTTCAACCGGAAGTAAATAATTACCTATATATAACCGGAATTAGATAATAACCTGATTTTAAACGGAAGTAGATAATAACCTGATTTCAACTGGAAGCAGATGATTACATGATTTCAACCGGAAGTAAATAATTACCCATACATAATCAGAAATAGATGATAATCTAATTTTAACCGGAAGTAGACAATTACCTGATTTTGTCCGGAAGTAAATAACCATTTTCTTCCTGAATCTCGTTGAAGGGACAGTTGACAATCATCTAAAAAATAGAACAAACCATGGATATTTTTCTTTTAAAAGAAAAATTTACATTTTCTTGGGACTCTAAATTTCCTACCGTCAATATTTTGCAATCTGAGCTAGGAACTTTAGAATGGTGGATATCAGGTTTAATGCTTGATCTCGTCTTTTTCTTAATCTCCAATTAAATAATGCTGTTCTCCTCATCTTGTAATTAATCTCCATATTAATTAACCGATCGGGATTAAGGATATCCCATTCTAAAGTTCCTAGCTCTAGGTTTGGTTTATCTAGTCTTAGCTCAATCTTAATTGAAATAAATTGTAAATTTCGTGATTTTTGGCTAGATTTTTAAATAAACACACTATGAGAATAATTGTAGATATATGTGAAGTTTTAGTTTTATAGTTTTACTTTGAGAAAATCTGGATCTATCAGCTGATAATAAAGAGAATATGCAGACAATGCAGACAGATCTTTGAAAGCAGTTCTCATTGGTTGAATCAGAACCAAAAAGAGAAGCGAACCTAAGACTCAAACTTTACAAGTCTTAAGCTTACAGAAGACCGGGCTTTTCTTTTAAAATCTCTGCTCTGGTTGTAAAAATAAAAAGATTAGATAGTTTGAGTTTGCGGCTAGTAATCAGTTCTTTACCTGGTAGTCTGGTGCTGACATCATGTCTAGATATTTTGATCCATTAGACCCAACTCTATTCTCCTCATCTACCCTACACAATAATATATATCTAGATATTTTGATCCATTAGACCCAACTCTATTCTCCTCATCTACCCTACACAATAATATATATCTAGATAAATATTTTTATAAAAACAAAAACCTTTTTACAGGATCAGCGAGCCAACAGTCTGACATCGTCTAAATTATTATTCATTTAAAATTTCAGAAATATTATACTATCTTATAATTTGGGAAGGTTTTTTTTTATTTTTCTAAATACTTACTTTATAGATATCTATTGGAGCATAATGGGGCTTTTGCATTCTGAAAAACATGAATGTTACATAATATTAGTCGTAAATTTAATAACTTTTTTTCTGCAGAGATTAGTTTTGGTATTTCTATTTGCTGTATTTATTTCTTTATTTTTCAAACAAAGAGCATTACGTATTGTTCTTAGTTAAACAATTGTTAAAACCACCTGAAGATTTGATTTTAAATGGTTCTCTCTTTTAAATGTAATTTCAAGTGACCATCCATCTGCAACGATGGCAATGCTTGATTCACAACGATACCCTTTAAACCTTTATCTGTTCAATAATGTGGAAGATATTGTCGTTTTTCTTTGCGTACAATTTTGCATTGGATCTCTACGGGAGATAATCTTTTTTTCACATCAAAATGACTTTTAGATTTTTGCAGCGCAGACAAGAACAAGTTTTCCAGACAGAGATATCTTCCTCGCTGTTACTCTGATCAATGTTTAAGCGGTACTGTTGTGAATTGAGCACTTAGAATATCGTTGACAGACCCTTTAGGTTTGTCTGTTCCTACCTGTACCCATTAGCAAGTTTATCATAAAATCTGTCTCCAGGTTCCATCCCTAAACCAATATTTAATTTTTAAGGTGCTGACGTTCTAAATATGAACGGCCCACTATATTTTTAAGTTGCTGACGTTCTAAATATGAACGGCCCACTATATTTTTAAGGTGCTGACGTTCTAAATATGAACGGCCCACTATATTTTGAAGGTGCTAACGTTCTAAATATGAACGGCCCACTATATTTTGAAGGTGCTAACGTTCTAAATATGAACGGCCCACTATATTTTTAAGGTGCTGACGTTCTAAATATGAACGGCCCACTATATTTTGAAGTTGCTAACGTTCTAAATATGAATGGCCCACTATATTTTGAAGTTTGACTAACTAGAAAACTTCATTATCTATAGATTGACATATGGCATCAGGTTGCGAAGGTATAGGGGTTGGAAATTAGATTTTGAGAAAAGTAATCAGTTTTATTGATTTAATAATTTTTTATTACTGTAGATACATTTAACATACTTTAGATACATTAATAATAATAATAATAATAATAATAATGATGATAATAATAATAATGATAATAATAATAATGATAATAATAATGATAATGATAAAACTGACCGAAAGCCCAAACATCAGATTGTGTGGAGAATATTCTGTCTCTCAAACATTCAATTGCTGAAAATAAGATTTTACATTTCAATGTTTACTCATTTAATCACTCATACTCGCACACTTACTTTCTTACTTCATCACTATCTAACTTACTAAACCAAATACTTGATCACTCACTTACTTACTCACTCAGTCACTTGCTTCTCCCTTTTTTTCTTGACTTACTTATTCACTTACTTACATATTTTTTTTTTACTTATTTACTCACTTACTTATTCTCTTACTTACTCATTTACTTACTCATTTACCTACTTACTCACTCTCACTCGCTCGCTCACTCACTTACTTACTTACTTACTTACCTTCTCGTTTACTCACTCACTTACTTACTCACTCAATTATTTACTCATTCACTTACTTACTTACTCACTTATTTACTTATTTCCTTAATTACTTACTAAATTACTTACTTACCTAACCACTTGATGGGTAAAGGACCATCAGTTTTTTTATGATAATTATTAGTTTTATAAATATCCTTGGCCAGCCCGAAATCACAGATCTTGACAACGTTATCCGAAGCTATAGGAATACAATATTTTAATTTTCAAAAATAAGAAATGGAAATAAATGAAAATTAAAAGATAAAATGATCACTGTACAGTCAAGTTTGTGAAATCCGCAGGGGTTTATATACATTAATTCAAGGAAAATAAGATGGAGGCTGTGGTTGTATGTACCCCATGTTTCCGCTAGAATTTATATTTATTACATTAACCATATACTAGGCGTTTAAGAAGTTTGCCCCCCCCCCCCTACCTTAAAGGGTGTTAAACTTTTTCTCAAATGCTTAATTATAGCAGAAGATCACCAAATCCTGCACGTAAGCTGATTAGATTCATCCCTGGAGATAAAGGGTCGTCATTCGGAGCAGGATCATTTTTAATCATGTAGTCCTTACATCGTAGAGATACTGTGGCTTTAAAGGAAATGTCGTAAAAACGTCTGAAAGGTGTCAAAAGAAACCTAATAATGTCTCTACAGTGCTGCATTCTTAGCTCAACTACCATGTCTAGACAGACAATCACTTTAACTTCTTTATGCTCGGTGAGGAAAATTTTAAAGTGTTTTTCAATACCCTTTAATTCTTTTATATATAGTATATACCGATCCTTCGTAATCAAATCTTCTTTTTAAAATGATAAAATTAAAATTGTTTAAATTGTATTTCCTAGAAGTATATTTCGACAAGCCAGGTCTCCATGCATCACTTTCTTGCTGCTTAGGTAGTCCATCCCTCGGGCAATCTTAAAGGGACAATTCGGAATTAACATAAATAAAGAATAAGTTTAAAAGCAGCAAGATTCCTCTTATATTTATTATTATATTTTATTTAAGATTTTTAAGCTTAAAAAAATTATTCTAACCTGATATGCCCAGCATATGAGATCCTTAGTGGTCAAGGGTTTCACATCTTGATTTCTAAATGTCGAAGGTCAATATTTTGAATATATACAGGGATACTCACAAAAATGAGACTATACAGATAACCTGAAACTTCAAGGTTGAATTCAGTATTCTGTCTAAAATGTGGGTTTTTTAATGGCTTACTGAAAGATTCGGCATAGAAAGGAATAATTTTGTAGTGGAAAGAAATCAGAACTATAAGAAAGTAAATATTTCACACAATCGTCTCTGAAGTCTCCTCCCTCTATATTTGACTGGAATGTGTGTTGGATTTAATAATAGGATAAGCTTTACCGATCAATCAAAAAAAGTTGCAGTGTGTCAAATTTTAAACAATCACTTATTATCAAAATTGTGTTAATTTAAAATGTTAATATTGACCCCTGTTAAAGGACTCCACACAAAAATTCTTTTCTTTTTTAAAATTAGCCGAACATGATGGATGATTTACGAACATGATGGATGATTTACGAACATGATGGATGATTTCCGAACATGATGGATGATTTACGAATATGATAAATGATTTACGAACATGAAGGATGATTTACGAACATGATGGATGATTTACGAACATGATGGATGATTTACGAACATGATGGATGACTTACGAACATGATGGATGATTTACGAACATGATGGATGATTCACGAACATGATGGATGATTTACGAACATGATGGATGATTTACGAACATGATGGATGATTTACGAACATGATGGATGATTTACGAACATGATGGATGGTTTACGAACATAAAGGATGATTCACGAACATGATGGATGATTTAAGAACATGATGAATGATTTACGACCATGATGAATGATTTACGAACATGATGGATGATTTACGAACATGATGGATGATTTACGAACATGATGGATGATTTAAGAACATGATGAATGATTTACGAACATGATGAATGATTTAAGAACATGATGAATGATTTACGACCATGATGAATGATTTACAAACAACAAAAAGAAAATTAGAAAAACAGAAATGTAAAATTACTGGCATCTGCTATCATCTAATTATTTACAGAATTCTGTTAAAATTTAAATTAAAAAAATAAATATGTAAAAAAATATTGACCCCTGTATGACCTGTAATCACCCCGGACATTTGATCTCCAACCTGGCCCTGTCTTACTCAGTCGAGATCCAACAGAATACGTTCTAAAATAGGGATAATCTGAGGCTAAGAAGAAAGGGTAATTATATTGTGCATGTGCGAACTTATATTTTTTTTGCACTTTTATTATAAAGGAACATAACTTTTTGTGGGGCCATGTGAGTTTTGAAAAAAACATTCTTGTAATATTGTAAAAATACCATGCATGTTGCAAATATGGGAATGTTACGAACAGAATTAGTTTTTGTAAATGTTATAAACATTAAATTAGAAATCTAGTTTGTAGTTGTCATCCGTGCAAAAGTTTTGAATCTTTAATGTAAAAATTGTGATCATTTTGCAAAATAAATTAGACAAACCATATCCAAAACATGTTTTGCTTGTTAAAGCACTTGGATAATCAATTTGGCAAAAAAACAATTCTACAACTCTCATTCAAAAGTTGATTATTCATTTGATATTGTTTAGTTTGGAAATTTATATAAATAATATTGTTCCTAGTTGAGACTACTTATCCTTATTTAATACATCTCGGTAAAAATATTAAGAACTGATATTGGAAGGAAAATGATTTCAAATGACCCAGTATTTCCAGATTGGCATGTTTTATTCACAATAGTACCAAATAAAATTAAACTTAGTCTGATCGAAAATAAATGCGATAACCTTTTTTTCTAGCTGAACATAGATTATTGTTTTTTGAAGTGACAAAGAATAAAACTGTCAAAATTCTACAAGTTTTAGAATATCTAACGTGGTTTATAGACATTTAAAGGTCACCGTTGTGAATTGTGCAATGTGACTCTTTAAAGGGATCGGATCAATAGAAAATAGGTTCACAGTCCCTTTAAATGTTGAAACTACCTAGATTCTCGTCCTCCGGTGTTAGTGCAGTGTGTAACTTCTGTCATATCAGACAATACTTCCATCATACCAGAACCTAGGAATACTATATCAGACAATACTTCCATCATACCAGAACCTAGGAACACAAAAGATATCAGACAATACTTCTATCATACCGGAACCTAGGAGTACTATATCAGACAATACTTCCATCATACCAGAACCTAGGAGTACTATATCAGACAATACTTCCATCATACCGGAACCTAGGAGTACTATATCAGACAATACTTCCATCATACCAGAACCTAGGAGTACTATATCAGACAATACTTCCATCATACCAGAACCTAGGAGTACTATATCAGACAATACTTCCATTATACCAGAACCTAGGAACACAAAAGATATCAGACAATACTTCTATCATACCGGAACCTAGGAGTACTATATCAGACAATACTTCCATTATACCAGAACCTAGGAACACAATAGATATCAGACAATACTTCTATCATACCAGATTCTAGGAGTACTATTTCCATCATACAAGAACCTGTCCTAGGGGTAGTAATGTGGATCATAGTTCGTTTTCCCCCCTATATTTTCTTATGCAGATCAAATGTTTTCAAAAATGTTTTTTCTTAACGTTTTCTGTTCTTACAAGTAATACTATGTCAAATGTTGACCCTAACAGAAGATATGTGCAGAAAACGATCCAATAATTTTCCAACAAACGATGCAAAAACAAACGTGTCATAACGACCGTTTTTTGATCGTTTTTTCCATTATTATTTTTTCGATAAAAAAATGGAAAAGTTAAAAAAAAGAAAAATTTATCAGAAAGAAAATTCAAACCTGTGCTTACAGACGGCTCTCTGCTCATTAGATACGGTTCTTTAGTATATCTGCAATACAAGATATTATAAATTTTGTGTGAACCTTGGATATTTCAAGCTTAGATTAATTTATCTGACATCATTCATAGTGTGAAATATCTAAGGTCTACGACATTTGGTTGCAAAGATATAGGGATTGGCAAATCAGAGTTTGTGGCAAAAAGGCTCAATTACTTTATACGATAACTGATTTTCTGGAAAACAAATCGTATGAATACTTTGAAAGAAAGTGTTGACAAATGTAATTCGTGGATTTTTTAATTTTGAACAATCCCTTTAAAGGGATAGTAAGCGTAACTACAAATGACCCTCCATGCAAATATGGTATTATTCCTTGAAACCTTTAATTAATAATTTGAAAGATATGCTGTAGTTTTTCTGACTCGTAAAGTGTTTATTTCCGTGTGTTTCTCCATTGCTTTTTATAGACAAGAAATGCGCAAGTCATTTTCTTAGAGAAATCGCAAATGAAAATAAAGGATGTAATTGATCGGGACAAAGCTTTAAAGGGTACCGTTGTAAATCGGGCATTGACATTTACTTGAAACTACGCATATACTTCATTTAAAGCTGGGTCAACTCACCTGACAGACTTGGTTGAAGTTCTGTTGAAGTCGAACTGTGCATCTGGGTTGGGTTCTGGTGATCTCATGTCTGAAGAAAAAAAAGTTCTCGAAAAAATGTATTGTCCAAATATTGCAAAAATTAATAAATTTACCAATGTATCCCTCGGGTGTAACAGGTCCATCAAATTCAGACGCACTTCTACATAAACATTTATATTAATGAAATGTCGTCTTTATATGGGAGAGTTTTCCGCGGTATTTACCTGACATAGTGCGCAGATGTTTCAAAACGTTCTCGCTCGGCAGAATAATCCACAATTTCAGATTCACTAGAAAAATAAATATAATAGAAATTAAAAATTAACAGTTAAAAATTTCTAAAGACTGAGCAAAACAAACTTTCATGAAAATGCTAATTTTAAGGAAAGCGAGCCTCAAAAACTATGATCATATTTTAAAGTCTGCATTTTGTAGTTAAAAAAAAATATTATTTTACCTGTTATGTTTGCCTATTTTGAAATCCATTAGTCCTGTATTAGGATCAATCTGATTTATAAAACTGTTCCTATGATGGATTAAATACTTCTGCAAGTTACCAAACCTACAAAAAAGATTTTAAATGAAAAACTCTGTTGTAAGAATAAAATAGCTTTCTTTTTTCCTTTTCATGTGAAAATGCTGGACTGCCTGGATTGTGTTTGGTTAGATTATTTCCCAATAGATCAGGCAGAAAAATAAAATTATTTTTTAAGATTAAAGTTTAGCTGAAATGTTTCAAATAAAATAATAGGTGAAAACCATAAAAAATAATCTTTTCTTATACGTATAGTTATGTTTTCAATCTGATCGATTCATACATAATTGGATTGGGTTGAAGAAAAGAAGAAATCCAAACTATGTATCATAAATTATAAATGAACAAAAAATAGATCTCCGTAAAATGTTCTAGTTAGGTCTGGGCGTGTTCCCTACTTTTTTAAAAAATCATTCGTTCTTTTCTATTTCTTCCTATGAAATAACCATCGGTTAAAAGGAACGGTGCCCAGCTCTTGAGCTGGACGTGTTCCTACTTTTTGAAAAAATCTTTCATTCTGTTCCATTCCTTTCGTTTCCTTCGTTCCATTCCATTCGTTTCTGTGAAATAACGATTAGTTCCAAGGATTCTTAAGCTGGACGTGTTCATACTTTTTAAAATCTTTTGTTTTGTTTCATTTGTTCCATTCCATTCATTCCGTTCCATTAGTTCCATTCCATTCATTCCGTTCCATTCGTTCCACATGAACGACACCCAGCCCTTGAGCTGGGCATATTCCTACTTTTTTTAAATTGTTCATTCTGTTCTGAACGTTCCGGTGAAAGAATGATTGAACAAAGGAACGACACCCATACTATATATATATATATAGTACTATACAGTTTGCTCTAGCTGATTTAAAGTCGGCGCGGTACTTGAAATTAACTGAATTTTGTAGTCTTTTCCAGATCATTCAGTACTTGCATTAAATTAAGTACACCAATAAAAACCATGAAATACACCAAAAATATACCTGTAGTACTCTACAATATATACCTGCAGTACTCTACAATATATACCTGCAGTACTCTACAATATATACCTGCAGTACTCTACAATATATACCTGCAGTACTCTACAATAATAAGAAGTTCTCTCTTGTTTAATGAATCAGTGCATGCTCCCAACAGATTAACTAAACCACGTGAAATAATTCAAAATCAGCTTTAAAAACGGAATTAAATGAATTTTAGCTAGGTCGCTGAACTACCTAGCTCCGGTTCAAATCTCGAATCACCTATTCAAGTTAAAGATAAGGATTTGAATCGATGATTAAGAATTTGAATGCAGTGGTACTTTAGTAGTTCAACGACCTCTCCAAATCATTAAATTAACGTTAACTTGATCTTCTTTCTTTCTCCAAAACCAATTATTGAGCATAAAAAATCAAATTTTGTTTTAATCTGTTTTTAACTTTAATAATTTATTTTTTGGATAAGGGTTGTGGGCACAAGCTCACGCATACAAAATAAAAACGAAATATCCATAAATCTATTTCCAGTTTGTTATCAAAGTCTTTCTATTATTTTGTTCTGCTCAAGATTAGTTAAAAGTCATACACCCCAACGTTTTGGGTTGCACCATTGTCTTAAAAACTTGACTATTTGGGTAACCCTGTAAACCATAGTGAACACTTATTTTGCGCGGGCTGATCTTGCTTCCTTTTTTTTCCTTAGACTTAACTATTTGGTTTGGTTAATAATAGGATTTTTAATAATCGCATGAAGCGTTGATTTGCCAATGACTTGTAGAAAGTTATTGTTTTAATCTGTAGAAAATAAAGATTTGCAAGTTTATAAAATGTATAGATGAAATTATGGCAGAATTATCATGATATTATTTCAAACTAAAATAGAAAAACTTTTAAACGTTAACTAAAAAGCCAAAAACATTATATTATAAGATTTCTATAAAAAACAGTGTTGAAAAATATATAAGGTCAAGTGCCATTTCTAATTAAAATCAGTATTTAAAAAAATCAAGTGTTTGCGCAAGTATATATGCGATGATATATGCAATACTTAATACATTTAAAACGTAAAAATACAAACAGTGTTTCAAAATGCTTAAAAAACTTTTTTTTTTACAAATTCCCCATTATTGCTCTCTTTTAATGGATAGCAAAGTTTTTATTACTCAAGACTTCAGAATGTTCTTCTTTATATCTTTTGAATATTTTGGTTTTCCTATATTTAGATGTTTTCCAATATGCATCATTATCTTCAGCTCCGACATCAAGGCCTGAACAAAAGGTCTGGAAGGGACTATATAAGCATGATTTCATACAGAAAATATATATAATTATTAAGTACTGTTTTTTGAAACGTTTGAAAGGAATTGAGTCTTAGCCACAAACTCTGTTTTTATAATGCCTCTTAGCAACCCAATTTCATTGACCTTAGATATTTTCAGCTGTGAATTCTGTTAGATCAAATAATCTAAATATCTATGTATCTGTAAATATAAAGTTGAAATCTCTGTTTGTCTGTCTGTTTGTTTGCCCGATCATAACTCAGGAACCCCGGGACCGATTTGCCGAAAACTTTGATTGGGGAACTCAGGAGGCCCACAGGAATGTTCTTAGCTTACTTTTAAGATTCTAAATTGAGTGGGTCGACTTTAATAGCTAAATTTAGTTTCTCGTTCAAGTGCGGGTAAACGGCGTAAGTAACTTTTAGTAACCTGGGCTGCGCTGTGTGTCCAAGCTAGTTCTTAAAATAAAATGATAAATTCATGGGACGAAAGTTCCCAAGCTGACACTGAGTGACAAATCTCGGGTAAATAAATCATGATTTGGAACTTACTCCCCCTGAACATTATGGAAAGAATTTTTTTCTAATAAAAGAAAGGGGTGGAGGGTGTATTTCTATCAGAGATGGAAAAATTGTTAAAATTACATATTACACATAAAAGAAAAATAAAATTTTAGAATGTATTTACCTTTATATACGTAATATCAGCCTGAGGTTTAACCATCTTCACTGCTACAATACTAACCGGCTCCCAACTGTTAATTCCTATTATTTAGACAATCTCATGATTTTGTGTGGAAAACATAATAAAACTAACAAATAAGAGAATGTAATGCATTTAAAAGTTCATTTTTTTTCTCTCCAAATCATTAAAAATTATGGGCGCATAAATCCAAGGCCAAAAAAAACCAAAATCCCAAATCTTTTTACAAAACGTGCTTTGGTGTGTCTAGAATGAAATATAAAGAAAACTTAGCCTGATCCCCACTGTTTGCATTCTGGTCAAAAACTGTGGCATATTTTTTGTGTGTTATGGCCAAATTTAATCTAAACTGTACAGTGCAGTGTACTGTACAGTGCAGTGTATTGTACTTTACACTTACTTTACATCCTGTACATGTTTTTTAATCTAAGCTACAAGTCTACAAGCCCGGTTACAGGACCATGATCCAAAGATGATCCCAGTATTTACTCGGATCAAGTCCGGATCACAATTTAATCCTGTTTTTTAAATTTCATGCTCTTACCCGTAGCTTCAGCTTTGAGCACTCTTCCAAAAGCTCCAGAACCCAACTGTTTCCCAAGCTTCAATCTGTCTTTAGGAAACTCAACACCCCTGAACCATGAATAGGGTTTATCAGGGGTCTATACAGGAGGGGGGTTTAGGATTAATTCCTGTTAATCTCTCTTTTAGACCTTTAAACTGACAACTTTTCATATTCTTGATTAATTTGTTCTGTTAATCTAATCAATATATTCTAGATTCTAGAATCTAGATGCACTTGATTATTTAGTTCTGTTAATCTAATCAATATATTCTAGATTCTAGATGCACTTGATTATTTTGTTCTGTTAATCTAATTAATATATTCTAGATTCTAGATGCACTTGAATAAAAATAATTATATTGAGGAAACCTGAATTGCAAAAAAAACATTTACACTAATTTGCTTTTCCTAATCCTAGCTTAAGATTACTATCTATTATATAGGAGTACATCTACTCCTAACCTAGGGTTAAGTATCTATTATATGGGAGTACATCTACTCCTAACTTAGGATAAGTACTTAGTACATGTACCCCTAACCCAGGATTAGTACCTATTATATGGGAGTAGATCTGCTTGTTCATCTACTCCTAACTCAGGNAAAACGAAAATCTGCCTGACATATAATGATATACAAAATCTATAAAAAAAAGAAAATGTACTGAATCCTTTTAATTGATAAAAATAGTGAAAATGTTTAAAAACCAAACATAAAATGTATATGTAATCGTACAAATCTTAATCAATAATGTATGCATTTAACTTTTTACTGAATAAAAATATTTAGATCTTAAAAAAAATCTAATCAATATATTCTAGATTCTAAATGCACTTGATTATTTTGTTCTGTTAATATTTAATATATTCTAGATTCTAGATTCACCTGACTATTTTGTTCTGTTAATCTAATTAATATATTCTAATTCTAGATGCACTTGATTATTTAGTTCTGTTAATCTAATTAATATATTCTAGATCATAGATGCACCTGATTATTTTGTTCTGTTAATCTAATTAATATATTCTAGATTCTAGATGCACTTGAATAAAAATAATTATATTGAGGAAACCTGAATTGCAAAAAAAACATTTACACTAATTTGCTTTTCCTAATCCTAGCTTAAGATTACTATCTATTATATAGGAGTACATCTACTCCTAACCTAGGGTTAAGTATCTATTATATGGGAGTACATCTACTCCTAACCTAGGATTAAGTACCTATTAAATGGGAGTACATCTACTCCTAACCTAGGGTTAAGTATCTATTAAATGGGAGTACATCTACTCCTAACCTAGGGTTAAGTACCTATTATATAGGAGTACATCTACTCCTAACCTAGGGTTAAGTATCTATCATATAGGAGTACATCTACTCCTAACCTAGGGTTAAGTATCTATTATATGGGAGTACATCTACTCCTAACCTAGGGTTAAGTACCTATTATATGGGAGTACATCTACTCCTAACCTAGGGTTAAGTATCTATTATATGGGAGTACATCTACTCACATCTACTCCTAACCTAGGGCTAAGTATCTATTATATGGGAGTACATCTACTCCTAACTTAGGATAAGTACTTAGTACATGTACCCCTAACCCAGGATTAGTACCTATTATATGGGAGTAGATCTGCTTGTTCATCTACTCCTAACTCAGGATTTATACTCTCTGGATCTCCACGTTCGAACAAATCTAGCTCAGCTGCTGTCAGCACTCTGAAAAAAAAAATAATGTTAAAACATTTTTTGAAAATAATTTTAATCAAACCATGAACTTAAAGGGACTGTAAGCGTAAATTCAAGTAATCGTCCATGCAAAGATGATAATGCCCGACATACAACGGTGCCCTTGAAACTTTTATCTGATCAAAAATGTTGAAGATATCGCTATTTTTTTAAACGAAAAGTGTTAATTTCTGAGTGAATTTTTCCATTGCCTCTTATAAACAAGAAATGCTCAAATCACGTTCGCAGAGAACCCGAAAATAAAATTTTACAGTTTAAAGAAACAAAACCGTAGATATCTAACATACTTAATCAAACAAAGCTTATAATCACATCTTTGCTTCGAGGGTCACTTGAAACTACGCTAACTTGACGACAATCTCTGTAATTACTCCTCATCCTGTAACCCATTATCTGAATAAGGTGAAGAAAGTTTTTTTTTATCTCGGACAACATTTTACCATTTTCTTGCGAATTCTTAAAAGATGATTGAAAATGTCTACATATCTCTACCATCTTCCGTTACTAAGTTTGAATTTGGCGTTGGAAATAATTTTATGATAGTCTTTTTAAATTCAACAGTCTTTAAACTTACAGATATGTTTATTTTATACTTTTTCATTCAAGATGTACATGCCAACAAAAAATTACTTAAGAAAAAAGGTTATAAAATTATGTAAGGGGGTCAAAATGTTATCGAAAGTCACAGCTTTCTGAAATATTGACGTGTATCGAGTTAGAAACAACATTAATACGGCGCTAGGCGTATATATCAATACAGTATTTCTATTTGTTAAATTGTTAGGTGTACATACTCGATCCACAAACTCCGATTCCCTAATCCTTATAAATTTGCAGCCTGATGATGTAAACCTTTGATATTTCAAATTTAAATCTAGCAGAATTCATAAGTTGAAATATCAACATTCGGTTGCAAAGATATAAGGATTAGAAAATTTGAGTTTGTGGCAAAAACTCAGTTCCTTAATCTAGAAGAGGATGATTCATATAGTGTAATGTCTCTTTTTCCTTCTGTATGCGCAAAGTGAATAAATACTAAAGTGGAACAGACTAAGGAAACGACGACAGGTTGGGCCACAAGGTTTTATTTGGTTTGGAAATAATTTCATGAAAAGATTTCGTTTGGAAAGTAAAGACTAGAAAAAATAGACTAAAGACCCATGTAAATGTCGTCTTCAGATAGAACTTCGAAATTTTCACGATTTAAAATCAAAATTTTTTGTACGTTTCTATGTAGTTTATATGTAAATATGTGTTTGTAAACAAAGGGAGTCCAGTTTCTGTTGTACTGTACACTCCGTATACAGAACAATTTATATACATATATATATATACATATTTCTAAATACTTGGGACATAAAATGTCGTCATCCAACTATGAGTTTGGTCCACTTTAGTATTTATTCACTTTGCTGTATGCGTGTATACTTTACAATTTTATTTAGCTACCCAAATGTGTGCTCAATACTTCAACTGAACCCGAGTTTCCAGTGAAAATCGTAATCTGTATTGATATATACGCATACACCGTATCACACCTGAGTTTCCCTCTGTATATAAATATCTGCCAAACTGCTATAGATATGCAGCCTAAAACCACCAGGCCAGCCAAACTTCCTCCTACAGATGAATATTTTTATTTATTATGAAACAATTTTCATCAATTAAAGAAAATGTAATAGTGGATGTTTAAAATATGCAAAAAGTCCTATTTAGTAAAGTGCGCAGATTGCACATTGCTCATAGACCTTCACTTTGTTCTGACATATACAGGGTTACCCACAAAGTAAGATTATTCAAAGACGCCTTTCTAGGTCTGTTAATTAAATTTTAAGTTAGACACAGCCCTAATCTTCTATATAATAAAGCTCTTCGCTCATATATATTTGTATGTATACATATGATATGTTAGCTGTAGCTGGCCAAACGGCTGAACCGAATGGGCTGAAATGTTTTGAGGGAACCCTTGAGTACCCCGGAGGGGAAATAGGCTAAAAAATTGTCGACATTTTTTTTCTTTAAAAATACAAAAATTTTTCTTTAAATTAGAATTTTTTTTTCATTCAAAAATCAAAATTTTTTTTGTTTCCAAATTTGATTTAAATAAATTTCACGGTCAACGCCGGTTACTTCAGCTAATAAAACATATTTTTTGTAATTTAATGAGATTATATTTTAAGAATTCAACTTTTATATGACATTATTTTAAAAGTTCTAGATCGTCATTATAAGTCTTATACATTATTGGTAGCCCTAGGGTCGGAATTATAAATGGTGAATTGAACTAGTTACGGTTAGTTTAACTACTTCTACCTACTTATGGGCATCGTTTTGAGACATTTAGAGTTTTGTATTGTTAATCGTGTTTTACAAAAATGTGAATTATATATTAAATTGCAAAACTTCATTCTTGAAATTATTTTTAAATTATACAAATTCTTTTTTCTGATCAAAAATGATAACTAAAGCGATTTTTCCAAACGAAAACGATTTCATTAATCGTTTGGAGGAATATCTAAAATATCTAAAATTTTGCACACTGTAATAAAAGCAAACATATCTAGCATGCAATTTTATAAAAAAACTTACTTACACCTTAGATTCTTGTGTAGCCTCTAAAAGGGTAAAAACATTGAATATTGAGAAAAACGGATCTGAAAATGATATCCATCCGTTCAACTAAACCACTTTGCTTCAAACTCATCTCAGCGGAAGAAAGATAAAGCTGGGCAAACCGCAGCTAATTAAATGACCGTTCACTTATTTGGGTAATTTCGGGATATCCTAAATATACAAAGGTACCTTTGCGCTGGAATTCTAAACGATAACTTGATAAGTCGGCTTTTTCTCCGGCCATAGATATTAAAAAGTAAGACTAATACAAGTGAATAGCTAATACTAATAGGCTGTTTAGTTTATCATGAAAGTAATCAAATAAGTGAATGTTCATTTAAATAATCTCGACCTTGTTTAAAGATGCGCAAACTCCGTGTTTACCTAAAACTAAGTAGAGAAGAGTGTTATCTGTTGGTTCTTCTACATGTAGAATTGATGCTAGGGATATTGTTCCTCCTCTAACCAACAGAAACAGGAAATTCATTTTGAAAAAATGTAAATATCTTTCTAAACAACAGCTAACTTGTTTATTTTTACTCAATACGATTTATGTTATAGGTTTAATATATTGTTTAAAAAAATTCTAGAATTGGAATATAATCCAGCTGTTGAAGATAAAAATTCCAATAAAATTTTATTTCCGATTTTCCTATTTTTTGCAGTACACATATACTTTCCAGAATCCTTCCCCAGCAGGTACTGCAGCCTGTACAGGAATTTTGTATTCTTTATATAGAAAATAAAGCTTTTTTAAAATGTTATTTTTCAACCCATCATTTATCTATATAGTTTTTCACAGCCAGAAAACTCTGAAATAGGATGACGACTTTTGGACTCAAGTTATGACTTTAAATAGTCTAATAAGCATATGGGGCACAGTGCAATTGTGTAGTGATAACAGACCCATTTTACTTAATTAGTGATTTTATAAGCGTCTAGTAAAACTATTTGCTTTGTAACAACATAAAACACACTTGCAATAAGTATTAAAAGAAAGTCGTCTCCCTATTTTTCGGTTATCACTCTACATCAAATAATAAAACTAAAATACACGGTTTTCAAGTCATCTCTCAGTTTTCAACTTGTTGCTTTTTAAAAAAATTCAAGGCAAATAGTTATTGTTATTGTTAATATTGATTTTGTTATTGCTTATTTTGGTATTGTTATTATTGTTTTTTTTTTAGTTATTGTTTTGCTATTCCTAATGTTTTTGTTAATATTGTTATTGTTATTGTTATCCTTATTGTTATTGTTATTATTACTTTGTTATTATTACTATTGTTATTGTTTTTATTGTTATTGTGTTATTGTTATCTTTAATGTTGTAATTGTCTTCGTTATTGTTATTGTCCCAATGCTAACCTGAGTATTCTATTTTCGTCCATCAGCTTAATAAGACTGTTTCCAATTGGTTGATCTGGATTTGATAAATCGATAAGATCTCCATCCTTGGACCAAACTATCTCAGGCTGAGGTCGACCTCTGAATAGATTAAGATGCCGAATTTTTTTAAAATGAATTCTAGAAAGAAAATTTTAAATTCGTTCTCCAGTTTAACAAAACTTTAAGAATAATGCTACTTTAAAAAGTGGTTAAAAGTACCGCATCGGTCACAACATAGTCTGATAAAGGGAGTGCAAGTGTAATTTCTAGTGACCTTTTAATTAAACCTTAAACTGATAAAGGAAGACAGACTTTTCCCAATTTGTTGCTTCTAATTTGCTAAACACTTTGTTTGCAAGCTGTTTTATAAATCAGGAATATAAATATTTAATTTCTAGAAGTGGCAGAATATGAATATTTACATTCAAAATGTTTTAAAGCTCCGTGTGGCATAGAATATTCTAGATTTTTCAGGAATAAATGTGACGTCATTCGCGTTGAGTTCACTCAGTACACAAGCGTACACGCCAATTTGGCGGTTTTTACACACGATTAACGATTTCTCTGCCTTAAATGACCAGTCAGAGGTTTAAAGGTTTGAAATGAGGATGACGCTCTTTAAATGGAAGTTTGTGTACAATCCCTTTTACCTATACCTTATATCACAGATGAACTCCCAGGCTTCTTCAGCTGGCTGGTCAACTTGGGTTCCATTCATATTCGACTAAACAGGACTGTTGAGAGAGGGCATGAAGATTGCCAATGATCTTTAAAATAATTTGCGGAATTCTTCGTTAATCAATAAATATAGTCCTTTGAACTATATTATATACGGTGGTAGGCAATTTTAAAATTATATCAACATAATGAAGAAGACTTTTGATTTCAATTTTGATTTATATCAAGCATTTGAACAGAATGGAGACACAAAGACATGGAAACAAAGAGAAGCTGATAATTAAAAAAACTTCTTTTTAATTACTTGTAAACTTGTAATTCCAAAAAACAAATTTTGTTACAAATCTTATGCAAAATACAACTTTTTTTTCTTATTTATAGGATAAAGTTTTTTATTGCATCTTACTTTTTTTCACACACATGTTCTCGAGCTTTTGATATTATGAAAACCAAATCACCATGACAAAAATTACAAATATATTCTTTACCTTAACTATTTCCGGGGGAAGAATCGGTAAAATATCAATAAAAATATCTAATTCTTCAATCAACCCTGAAATAAATAATAAAGATATCTAATTCTTTAATGAACCCTGAAATAAATAATAAAAATATCTAATTCTTTAATCAACCCTGAAATAAATAATAAAGATATCTAATTCTTCAATCAACCCTGAAATAAATAATAAAAATATCTAATTCTTCAATCAACCCTGAAATAAATAATAAAAATATCTAATTCTTCAATCAACCCTGAAATAAATAATAAAGACTATTTAAATTGCACAAAATACGAGCAAATTTTTTTTTAATTGATTGGGCCACAAGAAGTAAAAAGTAAGAACATTTAAATAAAGATGCTGAATAGAGATATTATTACAGATTTGTTTATAACTTTATATATCGTAATGAAAAGGTAAGTATTATATTACAAAGTGAACCGATTTCATAAATTGCATTTTTGAATCTTCGGCTGAAGATATTCTTATGCTACATCTGAGAATTGATATTTTGAAAAATGTGGTTACTCTATAAATTAAAATCAACTTGTGGATTTGTGAGGTAGAAGTAGAACCAAAGAAGAAAATTATCTATATTTGTAATTATACCGGACAATATTTTAATTAGTATTGCTCCTTTTAAGGTTTAAAGGGTACCGTTGTGAATCGGGCATTCAACTCTTCAAATTGGGGTCACACGAATTTACATTAATATTCTTAACCTGCTTTAGTTTGAGCTCTACAAGTATAATCTGCAATATCTTCTTGACGTAAACTATCAATAATCAATGTCTTGAACAAACTATGAAAATTCAAGATTCACGATCACATACTAGCTGGCGGGTAGAGAATGTTTGGGGCTTGAGAGTGGTTCACAAGTCTGCCTTTAGATTTTATTTAATACTTAAAATTTGCATAATGTAGCTGTTTTACGGTTGGGTTAAATGATAATTATTGGTAATCTTTAATATTTTTTTTTTAAATTTTAGAATTCTAAAAATGTTTGGATCGTATCTTGTATTTCCTGAACTCTGAGGAAGAAGGAAGAGCCTGAAGTTTCTTCTCCTCCTTGAACCAGTTCAGCTCCGTGTATTTATACTTGGAGCCGGAGCAGGTTAGGGTTAGCTCATCCTCTTCAACATAGCTCTGGTTACGAGACTCAGATATCTCAAACCCGGAGCTAAAATATAGTTAAAATTACTTTAACATGATTGTCAAAGCTAATTGACCCTCAAAGAGTATGAATTGTCAATTATTTATTATGTTATGGCATAATAAACTTTTCAAAAACGTACTTCACACCTAAAGCTAATAATTAACATATGCAATGCAGAATACGGAGATAGCGGGACTGTGCAAAAGGCAGAAAGGAAACGTTTAAACAATTTAGCTAGTTTTGTATTTGAAGTACACATTCTACATCTCTAAATAAATTAAGAATTAATTAAATAAATTCAGATTCTCGATTTTTTTGTTTTGATTATTTAATAAGTGTCAATTATAAATCTTATCAATGAATGAGCAAATAAAAAACTAGCTTTATATATCCTTGCACTGTATAAACAAATAAACATTGATTTAATATCGTAATATAGAATCCCGGAATACTTAAATTATTTTTGTCCTGGTATCTCTTGGAACTTTCTAACCAGTATATGTATGAGTGTTTTTTCGTTGATTTTGACATTTTTGAAAAAACAATAAATGGCCTTCCAGCCGCCAGGTGAAAATAAAACGGTGAAAGTATCCAAAATTAAATAAATTTGCAGATTTGAAGGGACATTTTTATTTTTTACCCCCAAAAGCTTTTAAAATTTTTAACTCAGTAAAATGATTTTAAAAGTATCAGACGTCTCCATGGAAAAAAAGAATAAATAATTGCTTAAAAATTATTATTATTATTTAGTTAGTTACTGAAGATGTTAATTTACTTACGATATAAAATTTTTAGAAAAGTTAAAATTATTTTTGAATTATTCTTTGACCTTGAATCCGCCAGGAAGAAGGGAAGTTGTGTTGTGTTACAAACAAACTGCTTCTCAGTGCACACCTTAAAAATGATTTAAGTTTTTGGTTTATTAAAAACATTTTTGGAGGCCCCACAAGATTTTACGATATTTTAAATATTTCAAAATTGTATACTTTGTAAGTTTGTTTTTATAACATTGTGAAACATTTTTACTTTTGTGACAAAAAAATACAGAACGAATATCAAAAACAATTCAACAGTTTTTAAACAATTTGATATGCTAGCCTTTTGTTTTGTGTCAAAGTATAAATTTTGCAGAATGTAATAAATAAGTAATTTAAATTATAAGTCATATGGTGTAAAAAGTCCTCCGCTGCAAAACAAATGTTAGCAGCTAATTCCAGAAAAAAAAGATTTTACCGAACCCTGGTAAATTTTCGATCCAGTAGTTTTGAAAAAAAAATGTACCAAAATTCCTACTTTTTCTTTTTTGTTTAGTGACAAACAATATTTTTTTTCTTAGATACGTTTTTATTTTTGATAATTCTTCAAGTGGTTTCCAAAATTCCCCTTGGTTAAATAAAAGGAGTTGTAATTAACATCTACCTTACACTCAAAGATTCCGCTTTGTTCAGCCTAAAACAGAATAATATAAAACATTTCTAAACTTTCTTTCCTGTCTTTCTTTTCTTTATATTCTCTTTCATTCCCACATCATACCTAGTACCATACCTGCCTACTTAAATACCTACCTTAAGATCTATCTATCTACCTACCTACATACCTACCTACCTACTTACCTACCTACCTACCTACCTACCTACCTACCTACCTACCTACCTACCTACCTACCTGTACAAGTGTATGGGAGATATATCTATAATGATATGCTGGATTTAGAACCCCGTCTATTGGTTCTAATGCTCCAGGGTGAACTCTAAAAATAAAGGAAGTGAGTGTTTACTGTTTATTGAGAACAGAATCCAAAAATAAACCTTGTTCATCCTAATATTTAAACTTGGAAGATAATATGCTTTTGATTGAATCAATCGTCATAAATAAGGAATTGAGTCGTTGTCACAAACTCCAATTTTCTATTTCCTAAATATTTGCAACGTAAACCTTTGAAATTTTGAAGTAAGTTTAATTTGATCTATCAGATGTCATAATGTGACATTGGGCAGCAAAGATATAGGGACTAGAAAATCAGAGTTTGTAACAAAAACTCAATTCTTTATTCGTGACGTTGGATTCAATCAAAAACATATTATTTTTCAAGTTTAAATATTAGGATGAACAAGATTTATTTTTTGATTTTGTTCTCAATAAAAATCTGAAGTCGATACTTCTTACAGAACGGGTGGATAAACAAAGCTTTGTAAAAGAAACTAAATCAGTTCTTTTTCTTTTGATCCAATTCATTTAATTTTTTATTCATGTTTTTCAAATAAGATAAAAATAAATATTTCTAATGAATTATGAGAAATGATAATAAGAAATTAGGTCAATTTTGGCCCAATTTGTCTGCCCCCCCCCTTCCTTCAAGCACATAGCAGTGAGATTAAAGGGTTTTTAAATCGTATATCCTTCAAAATAGGTGAATCATAAAATAATCCGGTTTTTTTTTACTTTTTCTGTTTGTTTGTGGGTCACGCTGATTTTCCCAGAAAGATGTTCTGTTCCATCACAATTTACCCACTTAAACGTATAATTTTTGCTTTTAAATAAACTTTTTTTGTCGGCGGATGGGAATAAAAGTATATGTTTAGATTAAGATGGATGAATTAAAGTCTAAAATGCAATTAAATTTAAAGTGAAGAAAAACGAATGTCGTCCTAGTTAGTCCAGGGGAGTGTTCAGGGGTATAAATAAGAAATTGAAACTTCAAGCAGTTGTTTTTCTTTTTCTTTTACTTTAACTATTTTTACAGATATATCAAAAACTATTGTTTTGATGCTAGGGGAGGGGAATTATATTATCAAGGGTTTCTAACCTCTGAAGTTTGTTTGTATGACAAGTGTCCAGGTCTGAGCAAGGATAAAAATCCAAGTAGATTGAATCCCTGTTTATAGGATACCCTAGAGCTTCACAAGATACTGTATAGAACTCCTGAATCAAGTTAAAACTCATTACTCGCATTCAACTTGAATGTTCTAATCTTATATCTTTGCAACCCGATGGTGTAAACCTTTGATAATTTAATCTTCAACTCTTCAACTATTAGATCTAGCAGAATTTTAAGTTTGAAGTATTCCGTTTCAGGGACCATTTTAGGAATAGCAAGAAGTAGTTGAACTACGTAGATGTAGTTCAACCACTTCTTTTGTGCACCAGATCCAGTTAAAAGATTAGTGGTTCAAGTTCTTCTACGCAGTTCTACTTCTCTTCGCTATAAATTAAATTTGATCTCCATGCTTTTTGCATAGATATAATTAAAAAGTTTATTTCTTCTACAACTTTGAAATGTTATCAATTTTCTTAATAAATTAAACAGTATGAGAATTTAGTCTTTCACATAAAATCATATTTTTAAATCCCTATTTCTTTGTAACATGATGGTGTAAACCTTTGATATTTCAAACCTAGATTTTGGTCCATCATTTCTCCTGAAACTTTGAAAAAGTTTTCCTTTTCTTAAATAAATTGAACATTTAATGTTTATAGATATATAAAATGTTGTTTTTAAATTTAATCAATAAAATACGTTGTCCTTATTTACCTTTTGTATGTAAAATGAGTTATTGTAGCCTTGTACAGACATGTTAAGTACAGGCTCCTGAAGTACAACTAGTTCTGCAGTACAATCAGCTTATGTACTGTGTACGAATTTTTTCTTCGTGCTTTACAATTTTAAAACTATTTTTTTTCATGAATTTATTGATTTTTCATCTTGTGCCAGAGTGGAGTTAGATTTTATATTTTTATTCATTTTAGAACACAAATTTTGTATCTTCATTTACTGGTTTAAAATGGGTCTAAAGTTGGCTCTCTTATTTTTAAGCAGAACCTTTCATCTGCTATACATAAGCTAGCTTTCCTAGTTCAGTTTGTTTTGATTCTTGCTTCCCAGCATCTGAGGTTACAGTTACAGTAAAGGGATAGGTCCCCATATCATGGATTGAAACATCCTTGAGAAAAAATGTAATTATAAAAAGGTAAATATATTTTTTTTGACAGTTTACCTTAATAGTTAGTTTTACATTGTTGCCATTAATCTCCTTCGTATATTTTTCTAAACAATTAAAATCAAAATAAATGTTATAATTGATAAAATGTTTAAAATCCAAATAAATGTTAATTAATAAAATGTTTAAAAAGACCAGTAAAATACTCCTATATTACTGTACTGTGGTCTGTGTACTATATATATATAGATGTGTTTGGGATGCCGGAATTAATAAAGAAAGTGTACTGTGTACTGTGCACTGTGTACTGAGTACTAGTTGTGTAGTGTGTACGGTGTACCTATATGCTTGTGGGGTACATGCTCTCCTGAAGGAATACTCCAAATGTACTGTGTACTGTGAACTATGTACTGTGTACTGTGTACTGTGTACTGTGTACTGTGTATTGTGTACTGTGCACTGTGTACTGTGTACTGTGTACTGTTCACTGTGTACTGTGTACTGTGTACTGTGTACTGTGTACTGTGTACTGTGTACCTATGTGTACTGTGTACCTAGATGTTTGTTGGGTACAGGATCTCCTGAAGGTAGGATCCAAGTTTACTGTGTACTGTGTACTGTGTACTGTGTACTGTGTACTGTGTACTGTGTACTGTGCACTGTGTACTGTGTACTGTTTACTGTATACTGTTCACTGTTCACTGTGTAATGTGTACCGTGTACTGTGTACTGTGTACTGTGTACTGTTCACTTTGTACGGTGTACTGTGTATTGTGTACTGTGTACTGTGTACTGTGTACCTAGATGTTTGTGGGGTACAGGGTCCCCTGAAGGCAGGATCCAAGTGTACTGTGTTCTATTTACAGGAATTGCTTCAACATCAAACAACCAACGAACCTCATCCTTTCTCTCCTATACACGATCTCTTATTTTACTTCTTTAGTTCGTGGGTGTCACAATCAACAACTGGATTATTTATAAAATCGATTTTTTCCGGGAAGTGTCCCTTTATCTTTAATAAATATATTTAGAGAACTGTTCCTTTATTCTGACAAGAGATCCTCCCCCGTTAAAACTAAAGTCACTGATGAAAATTTCTCCTGGGGGTAAGGTCTGAAAATAAAAAAAATTATTAAAAGTGGATTCTCAAAAGCTTCAGGTTTTGATTTACAGGAAACTAAAAAACTTTTAAATATTTTATGAAAGAAAAAGATTTTGTCAACCTGGACGTGGAAAAAACACTGTAAAAATAAATTTTTCTAAAATGTTTTCTTGTTCCGCCGAGAAATTGTTTAATATTAAAGAGTATTTAAGCAGTTAAAAAAAGAAGAAAATAATTTAGGAGAATTATGAAAGTTAATTGACATTTTTTATGTTATATTCTGTATAAAGAACAATCATGAATTCGTTATCTCTCTTTTTTTTATCGGCTAAAAATAATAGTAACATGATTAATGTAGAAGGTTAAAATTATAACGATGAAATAAATCCATCATTTATAATATTTTGCTTGTAAAATATGTAATAAAAGTTAAAACCTTAAAGGAACTTAAAGCGTAATCTTAAGTGTCCGTATGCAAAGATTCAATGGTACCATTGAAACATTTATTTGATCAATAATGTTTGAAATTCTGTCGTTTTTCTAGGTTTTAAAATGTATAATTATGATAATTCCTTTATGGTTTCCTGCAGTGTAATAGCGCAATTCATTTTTACCATATCCCATCCATAAGCCATCTTTGCATGTTTGGTCACTTTAAATTTCCCTTACAGTCCCTTTAACTAATCTAAAAACTAGTATTTTACCTCTGAGGTGTATATTTTCTTGAAAAATCATTTCCCTCCCCCTATTTTCAAAAATTATTTTCTTTCCCGGGGGGGGGGGGGGTTTAAAAATATACATTTCTGTTTTACCTTGATATGAATGGATTGTTTACTAGGTTTCTGTACATTAATACTGGTAGCTGTACAGGAATAATCTCCTCCATCCGATATAGTTAGGTTGTACACGGTTATATTCCTGAACAGTACTGTGAATGTATATTGTAAAGTATCCTTCATCCGATATAGTTAGGTTGTACACGGTTATATTCCTGAACAGTACTGTACATGTATAATATCCTCCATCCGATATAGTTAGCTTGTACATGGTTATTTTCCTAAACAGTACTGTACATGTATGGTATCCTCCATCATATACGGTTAGGTTGTACACTGATATATATTCCTGAACAGTACTGTACATGTATAATCTCCTCCATCCGATATAATTAGATTGTACACGTGGTTATATACCTAAACAATACAAGGTAGACAGGTCACCCACAAAGGATGAGACTGTAAAGATGACCTAGAATTATTACAATTTGACCAGCCCATGTTCAAATTAAATCTTCTGTCTTACTAGCTTATCAAATAATAAAACGAGTTTACAGTTACTGAGTATCTAGAATATAAGGAAACAGACTCTATGGATTCCGTACAGCCATCACCAAAGTCTCATCCTTTGTGGGTAACCCTGTATATTTGGAGATGATTTATCTCTTTTTTGCACCAATTGTAAAGCGTCATTTTTTAAGGTTGATACTAGCTCCTTTAGTGGTAAATAGTGCATTTTTCAAAACTTAATATTAGTGGTTTCAATGTTTGTTTTTATTTCTCATTGTGATGAAATTGCGCGAACTAATTATGTATTAACACGAATTCTTGTTATATTTCTTGAAGCGGGAATAGTTGGGTATTGTAAAATAAATAAGCATTCTGAAAGTTTTTGTTTATCAATTATTTTTTATTCTGTTAAATGTTCGTTAGCAGTGAGTAATATTTTCTATTGCTCTGTCTGAAATTATACACTTTTTGCTCATTTTGTGTAAAAAGCAATAAACAAAAAGTGGAATTTGAACATTTTCATACACAATGCAGCACACAATTTAATCGAGTTCATTTATTTAATCCACTGGAAACCGAGTAGGACTATAAATGCGACTGGAGAGTAGGGTCCATTAAACCACACAGCCCCTTGACAACTATAAAATCTCGATAATCATGGAAACCCCGACTAAAAAGATCAGGTGGAAAAAATTCAAAATACCTGGATACGAGTCGACTTTGATCAGTTCTATATTCTTGGTTCACAACAGCATTCTTATATTCTCCTAGAACTATTCTACCAGTAGATATATCCTAGAATACACATATTCTCCTAGAACTATTCTAGCATGGAAGATATATCCTAGAATATATATATTCTCCTAGAACTATTCTACCATGGAAGATATATTCTAGAATAAATATATTCTGCTTGAACTATTCTACCAATAGATATATCCTAGAATATATATATTCTGCTAGAACTATTTTACCAGTAGATATATCCTAGAATATATATATTCTCCTAGAACTATTCTACCAGTAGATATATCCTAGAACATATATATTCTCCTAGAACTATTCTACCAGTAGATATATCCTAAAATATACATATTCTCCTAGAACTATTCTACCAGTGGATATATCCTAGAATATATATATTCTCCTAGAACTATTTTACAAGTAGATATATCCTAGAATATATACATTCTCGTAGAACTATTTTACCAGTAAATATATCCTAGAATATGTATATTTTCCTAGAACTATTCTACCAATAGATATATCCTAGAATATGTATATTCTCCTAGAGCTATTCTACCAGTAGATATATCCTAGAATATGTATATTCTAATAGAACTATTCTACCAGTAGATATATCCTAGAATATGTATATTCTCCTATAGAATTATCCTACCATTGGATTTATCCTAGAATAGTATTCGTATATTCTTTTAAACATTTTATCCATATTCTACGTTACCAATAATACACACATATTGAAATCTAGAGCAGGGGAAATCAGTTCAAAATCTAGAAAATCTAGAGCAGGGGAAATTAGTTCAAAACAATGATTTGACCAAGAGGGTGACACTAATTAATTTTTTTAATAAAATTAACATCTCCAGCATTAGGGTTTCCAACGTAAGTTGATTTTACTTGGGTGAATATGCGAGCCCTATAATTCCGCACGATTCGGGACAACGGAATTCCGATTAGAAACTTTAATTAGAGGTTAAAAAACGTGTTACCTTCATGGAGTTATAAACTGGGAAAGGTTCGAATGTTTACATAATTGATTAAAAAGTGTGGGAGGAGTTTAGGGGGAGAAAGGAGAATGAAAGGGGGTTAAGGGGGGGAAGGGTTGGTTAGGGGTAGGTTGGGTGTGGGGGAGGGGAGTTGGCATTGGGTGGGTCATATATAAACGAAGAAATAATGTTTAAGTTACTAGTTACGTATAATAAAAAGCAACTTAACAGTAGGTAAATAAGGAATATTTATTAGACTATTCAATGGTTAAAATATCTGGCTGAAACTATACAGAAGGAGAAGGATTTATGCGAAATTCACGGTACGACTTTGTAACCTTGTAGCTCCAATAGTTTAAATTTTCTGCTCAAGTATATGAAAAGCATATTTATCTGGTTTATACTAGAAATCAAAACATTTCCGGTCTCCCAATAGCTCTTTAATTAAAGGAGTTCTAATTGAAATAGGTGAGGAATATGGAGGGGGGGATACCTGTTCCTGTGAAGGGGAGGGTGTAGTCCAATCCAAAGTTACTCCATTTATGTACATTTTTAATGACACCTAAATAAAATAAGCTCAAAAAAGATTTTCCGGAGAACAATTTGAATTAGAGTAAACTCGGGAGTTTGTAGATCTTTCTTTAAAGTCATTTTAAATATTTTTTAAATGAGGGAAATATTTTTCAACGTAAAAAGCTTCACTTCGAATAAAAGAAGAGTTAGTACCCATGTTTACTCTGTAACATCTATTTCATGCTTGCACTAAAAAAGAGTATGCTAGACAACGCACATTTAACATTAAAAAAAGATTTTACATACAAATTACGATTTTTGATGGCATATTTGATATTACAAACTTTGACATTTGATCTAACATTATTCATAGTTTGAAATACTAAAGGCCTCCGTCTACAACATTGGGTTGGAAAGATATATAGGGATTAACAAATATTTATAATATTTATAAATATTTATAATTTTAAGATTTCAAAATGTTTGATATAATTTCATTCTGCGTATAAAATTAAAAATGCCTAAGTTAGTATGAAAAATAATGCATGCTTTGAAACCTTTGCAATTTCAGTTATTTTCAGTTTAATTATGCACGACAAATTGTACATTTAAGCGGAAAATAGAAACAGAACAAATATTATAAAAATATAAAGCAAAATGTGCAATATGCATGGTCAATGAACAGTGTGCAATGTGCATTGTGTAATGTGCAGTACTGAATACTGAATACTGAATACTAACTACTAAATACTAAATACTGAATACTGAATACTAAATACTGAATACTGAATACTGAATACTGAATACTGAATACTGAATACTGAATACTGAATGCTGAATACTGAATACTGAATACTGAATACTGAATACTGAATAATGAATACTGAATACTGAATACTGAATACTGAATACTGAATACTGAATAATGAATACTGAATACTGAATACTGAATACTGAATACTAAATACTGAATACTAAATACTAAATACTGAATACTGAATACTGAATACCGAATACCGAATACTGAATACTAAATACTAAATACTGAATACTGAATACTAAATTCTAAATACTGAATACTGAATACTGAATGGAACATTGGACAAAAAAAAATCAACGTATTAAATGATTTTGGTATTTTACCTCTAGCTATAGAAACAAATGACGATTAGAATAATTTAAATCTAAAACTTGTTTCTATTTCAAAAAGAAGAAAATTTGTGAGTTGAAATCTATGAAATAAGCGAATAAAAGAATGCAGACAAGCGTTTTGACAGAAAACCGAAGAACCCTCCTACCTCTAAAGTACAGGAGAGAATGAGACTACCTCCTAGATAAGGTCCAGGAGGATACTCCTTCACCAATCTAAACAAAACAAAATATTCTAAATTAATTAGATTCAGAATTTAACAATATGAGTAATATGAGCAATATGTTAATCAATGTTATCGATTAAAAATGCAATGTTCTGAGCAGATTCATATATTACGAAAAGGCACAAATTAAGAACAATTAAAATAAATAACTCATGAGCATAAAAAAACTATTTTTTGAATGTTTTCAATGGACGCTACATTTTTTATATTATAGGCTTTCAACACAGCTTTCAGGTTGCTTCCCGCGCATCGTCTATTTCAATTGTAAACATTTTCTCTTTGTATACATTGTAAAACAAAAACAAACAAAATGGCGGATTTTATCAGATTATTTCGTGGATTTTCAAAATTAAATGAAAATCGGATTTTGTTGGAGGCTAATTTTTTAAATTTGATCATCCATAAACCTTCTCTTGGGCCATTTGAAGTCCTACACACAATTTGGGCCCGATCAGTTAAGCCGTTTTGACGTTTATTGGATACAAACACCCAGTCAGACAAGCAAAGCATATATATACTAGGCTTTTAGGGCACTTCGCGCCCATATTCTATTTAAATTGTGAACATGTTCTTTTTGTTTACATTTTAAAGCAAAGAAGAAAATTTTTTTGCTGATTTTTGAAAGAAAATTCGCGGATTTTCAAGAATTAACATTTTTTTACAAAATTAAATACCTTCAAAACACATTTTTTAAAAAAATTTTATCATTCATAAACCTTCCCTGTGGTCACGTGATGTCCCTCAAAAAATTTGGGCCCGATCGGTTTAGCCGTTTTGACGTTTATTGGATACAAACAAACAGACATCAAAACAGACAGACAAGCCAAATTTATATATAGATACAGGCTGTCCCAAAAAACATGGGAATTCAGTGACGAATTCGATATCGTCTTTTTAGATAATTCTTTGATTTAGTAAAGTGATACCTACTGAGAAAGCTGTAATTTGTAAGAGTTTCGTCTGCTAAGTTCACATTTTGTTTGTTTATGTTTTGACTGCATACGGTTGTACTTTGTAAAACAAGAAAATTGCAGTATACAAACAAAGTAACTTGTCCGTCTTCACTGTTCATCTTGCAGAGACATTGTAGACACACCTTTACAGCCATTTACCATTTTCATAAAATAAACTCTAGCAGACATAATAATATTACGGCTTTTGAAATTAGGTACTACAATGCTAATTCATAACAAAGACGATATCCAATTCGTCACTGAATTCCCATGTTTTTTGGGACACCCTGTATATCCCGAATAAATTGTTTATTAAATTTTTATTTAAAAGGAAAGGAAAAGACGACAATAACTTTATTGTTTTCTGGTTACCACTGTACTTGTTGAAGTAGTATAAATGAAATGAATGGAATGGATTTCCTGATGACGGAAATGGATTCAATGAAAAATCGATGTTTTGAATGAATGGCCTCGTGACTCGTGTCCCACCAAAATAAACTTCCAGGAGACAAGAACTAATTTTTGGTTTTTAACCCTATTCCCGCTGGGGGGGGGTCAATTTGACCCCCCCCCGGAGTTTTTTTTACATAACTCAAAAAGTATTGGTCTGAGGCTGTTGAAATTTTCTGACTTTTCTTACATACCCAAAGCCCTCCCTTTAGGCCTAAAACCGGGCTTTAATACTAACTGCCTGAGTCCTCAGGCACACTGCCTGAATGACTGCTTTTGCCTGTAGCAAACTAAATCTTTGTTTTGACCCACTTTCACTTGTCAGATTTTGATAAAATTTAGCTTTTTGGAAAGCCTATGACATAAGGAAACGGATTGCACAAGTTTTGCGAAAAAAAATTGCAAATTTTTTGCAAACAACCTGTCAAAGGAAATTTGCACATTTTTAGTTTTTCTTGATTAAAAATCAGGTTATTTAAAATTTTGCAAAATTTTTTGCATATTTGAAATGGCATGGTCAAGGGCTTTTCAAAAATGTATAATTTGTCATTTTTTGGACAAATTTTTTTTTGCAAACATTTTTACTATAAAACTGGATTTTGCGATAAAAAATTCAATTTTCGCAAATTTGCAAATTTTTTTGCAGATTCTAAAACTAGAGCACAAGAGCTTTCTAATGATGTATCATTTGTCATATTTGGACATAAAACATGGGATTTAGAGGGGGGGTCAAATTGACCCCCCCCCCCAGCGTATCCTGGTTTTCAAGTACCCCAGCGGGGATAGGGTTAAGAAACAAAACAATTGGACAAGAAAGTCCAATTTTGATAGGGTTAAGAAATATAAATATTAAAGGATACCGTTGTAAATGGGGTATTGCCGTCTTTGCATGGAGGGTCACTTGAAATTCCGATTACATTTCCTTTAACTTCAGATTTGAAAGTTCGAAACATTTCTAGAGAAAAGTGTTATTTTCAACTATGAACCCTTTTATTTTGTAAGAAGATATTTGAAAAGGAATTGAGTTTTTGCCACAAACTCTGATTTTCTAATTTCTATATTTTTGCAATCCAATATCGTTGACCTCAGATGTTTCAAACTATGAATTCTGTTTGAATAAATAACCAAAGTTTGTAGCAATTAAGATGTTATTTCAGATTGAAAATATATCGGGATTATAAAATTTGAGTTTGTGGCAAACGAAATCATTGCAACTATGTAATGTGGTGAAGAATTTAAGCAAATCTAACATAATCTTTTCCTATATATTACAATAGAGTTGTGTAACCCTCTTAATAATGTGTCTATCTATATAGTAGATCTGTTCGCTCAAATATATATATTTACATTTATGTTAGCTATAGCTGGCCAAACGGCTAAACCAAATTGGCTGAATTTTTTTGAGGAAACCCTTAAGTACCCTGTAAATGCCTTTTTTTCAAAATTGGATTTATTTTTCAAAATTCAACATTTGTTTTAAACTCCAATTTTTTCTTCAAAATTTCACGGGCACACCAGGCACTTCAGATAGTTTAAATATAAAGTTGAAATCTATGGTTGTCTGTTTTGATGTCATAATTCAGAAACTAAGTTAAGTAGGGGTTGACTTTTGTTAAGAAAGCTCCAGGCAAAGCTGGGTTTACAAGATGGTTAAACATGAAAATATGAAATACACGGGCAAAGAAATTCATGAGAATAATAAATAAGAAACAAATATTATTAAATTATGAAATGAGATGTTCATTTAACAGAAAGGCTTCTAATTACTTAATTAAGTTTGTGAATTAATAAAAAAGAGTTGCCAGACTTTTTAATTAGTGCAAAAGTGCAAAGTTATTAAATTTGCACAACAATAGTTACAACAGATACTCAACATAGTTTACAGTTTTTATAATTTTGTAAGGAGAGAGCGAAAATTAGAAAGATTTTTTAATTCTGTAAAGGAAGTGAGTTTTTGACACAAACTTAAATATTCTTATCCCTATATCTTGGCGACCCAATGTCGTGGACCTTAGATATTTCAAACTATTAATTCTGTTGGATAAAATAGTCTAAGTTTAAAATATCAAAGGTTTATACCCACTGGTTGCAGAGATATAGAAATTAGAAAATTTGAGGTTGTGGCAAAAACTCAATGCCTTTGTGAAAAATCAAACAAATCCATCACATCTTTTACCAAAACTAAAATAAATGTAAAAATAAATGTTGTAGCCGAAACATGCTCCTATATATCTTTGTTTATTGAGTCTTAGTAAAGAAAACTATAAAAAGATGTCGTTAGATGTTTTCATCCAAAAAATCTGATTTAAAAATTTGCCTTGATGAGATTTCGGTGTGAAATTTTTGAAAAAATCCTTGATTTTTTATCAAACTATAATGTACTTTATCACTATTATTCAATTCATCGTGAATTTCATAATGAACGTGCTATTAAAGTAATCATCGTGCTATAAAGTTGTACAATATAGCACGTGTGTTATAAAGTTTTGATTGGTTCCCGGATTTTCTCAAACAAATTTAGGATATTTCCAAAATGTTTTTTTTTTCAATTGAAATAAAAATAAAATTGAAATCAACTTTATATTTTGACCTTTGCTTTGTTTTAAAGCTTATTTGATGCAGAAGCAGCCATTTGAAATAAGACAAGTGCACAAACTCTCATAAAATTACATAAATCACTATTATTTCTGTCCAAAAACTTTATAACACTGCGAGCCAAAATAACAGTGTTATAAATAGTTATTAAATATTTTTAGTATAATTTAAATTCTTTAAAGTATATTCTCGGTAAACATTAGTTTCTATTAAATCCCCGGTTTCTAATAATATTTAACATTTAACTACAAATGGTTTTGTTAGCAGCCCCTATAAAATATACCCGGCCCAACAGCCAATAAAGATTGAACCGTGCAGAGTAAGTGCACAAGTCTGCACGTTTCTGTGTTTGCAATGTGAAAAATGCACGCAAATTCTTGGACAAGAACCATCGTTAAGAATTGTAAAAAAAGATGAATGGTAAATTGAAAAAATATTTCCTGTCAATCCAGAATTCCAGATTAAAAAATCTGAGATTTATTTTTATCCGTAAAGGAGAGGGAGGGGGAAAAATATGGCGAAATTTAATGTCTTTAAACATTTTTTAAAGAATGTCTAGTTTTAGTTTTTACTAAAAGGGACTGTATATACGTGTTTTGGAAAGCTTCTTTAGGATTCATTTGAGACATATAAAACTTTTTAAAGATCTGTAAATCCTGAGTTTGAACGCAAATTCGACGTTCAAAACGCCTACCTTGGAGGTGGATACGTTTTCAGAACCGGTTTTCTTAAATTATTAAATAACGACGACAAAAAATGTAAAGAAAACTTTACAGTAAACTAATTTGTTGAAAACGAAAAAATTGATTCTAGCTTTGATTTATTGACAAATTTCTTTTGAGAAATATGTTCCTAACCATCTAATTAGATTACTGTATGAGTTTTACCTTTTTTTCGTCGTCGTTATCTAGTAATTAAAAAAAACGATTCTGAAAACCTATCCACCCCCAAAGTAGGAGTTTTGAACGTTGAATTTGCGCTCAAACTCAGGATTTACAGATCTTTAAAAAGTTTTATATCTCTCAAATGAATCCTAAAGAAGCTTTCTACAACACTGCATACTCAGTTCAACTACCTTACATAGCCGGTCTGTCCCTTTAAGATAAATGTCACCTTGGTTTTGGCAGTATCGTTGTTGGTGTATCCATTATGGTAAGAAACAAAAACAGGCTGGACTGGACCGATCCTAAAATACAAAATACATAAACATATATAATAGGCTGGACTGGACAGATCCTAAAATACAAAATACATAAACATATATAATCTACGGATTAATGAGACATTACGCGAGAAATTTGGATTAAGAATAAAAGTTATAAATTTGACTCAAATTCTTTAATTTTATTTTTTCTATTATCAAACTTTCAAAATTCATTATTTGATTGGCATTTCAAACTCAATATTTGATCATATGTACTTCAACAATTTAATGAAATTATGTTTTCAATTTGTATATTAGTTCAGTAAAGAACACAAATATCAATTTGTTAAATTGTGTTTTGGAAAAGTAAATATTCATTAAATTAATGCCAGGGGCGGACACTGATATTCTTTAATATTTTAATATTAAGCCAAATTATACATTCTATGGTTCCTGCATCATGATTATACCTAATTGAATGATGATACATTCTATGGTTCCTGTATCATGATTATACCTAACTGAATGATGATACATTCTATGGTTCCTGTATCATGATTATATCTAACTGAATGATGATACATTCTATGGTTCCTGTATCATGATTATACCTAACTGAATGATACATTCTATGGTTCCTGCATCATGATTACACCTAACTGAATGATACATTCTATGGTTCCTGCATCATGATTATACCTAACTGAATGATGATACATTCTATGGTTCCTGCATCATGATCTTACATAACTGAATTATACATTCTATGGTTCTTGCATCATGATTATACCTACCTGAATGATACATTCTATGGTTCTTGCATCATGATCTTACCTAACCGAATGGTTCTTGCATTATTATCTTACCGATAACAGAATGATGCTTTCTATAATTCTTGGATACAATGATGCATTTTATGCTTCCTTGTATCATAACCTTACCTAACTGAAATGATACATTCTATGGTTCCTGCATCATGATCTTACCTAACTTAATGAAATATTTTACTGGTCTTGCATCAGGATTATACCTAACTGCATGGTGCATTCATGATATTACCTAACTAAATAATACATTCTATAGTTCATGCATCATGATCTTTTAAATCTTACCTGACTGAATGATGCATTCTATAGTTCTCGCACATGATCTTACCTAACTGAATGATACATTCTATAGTTCTTGCATTATTATTTTACCCAAATAAATGATGCAAACTATGATTCCTGCATCATATCTTACTTAGCTGACTTATGCATCATATAGTTCCACGTCAAGATCTTAACTGGCTTATGAATCATATAGTTTCTGCATCAAAATCTTACCTAACTGAATGATGCATTCTATGGTTATTGTATCATGATCTTTCCTTACTGAATGATGCATTCTATGGTTCCTGCATCATAATCTTACTTAGCTGACTTATGCATCAAATAGTTCTCATCATGATCTTACCTAATTGAATGATACATTCTATTGTTCCTGCATCATGCACACTGGCATCAGTAATCCAAAGGCCAGTTTGTGGTGAATATCTCATATTATGTTCTCCTAAATATGTTCACAACTATATTCATACATTCATCAATACAATTTGATCCCAATTCATACACAATTCATTCCTGATTCATTCCTGATTTATTCCCAATTAATTCCTAATTAATTCCAAATTAAATGATAATTTATTCCTCAATTTATTCTTTATTCATTTCCAATTTTTTCCCAGTTAATTTCCAATTTATTTTCAGCTTAAACCTAATTCATTCCCAATTATTTCCAAAATCCTTACCAATTCATTCATTTCGAGCAGTTTCTGTTTTATTGCTGTTTATGAGCTTTCCTTTGCTCCACTGTTTTTTAAATTATTTTTTCAAAATTTTTTTTTTCTTTTTTGTTTAAATCCAATTTGTCGGAAATATCATTAATATTGTTGAGCAAGGTAAACAAGGTTGGATACCTAATACAAAATAAACCAAGCAGATAAACAGACAGACAGAAACACAGACAAACAAACAAAACCCGTGTATCTTCTTTATCTACTTCTATTTGCAAAAAATTTTGCATAATAATTCCATACATACTTTAAATGTAGTTTTAAGATAAAAAATAAAATATTTTGCAAAGATCTTTTAAAGTAATGTAATTTCTATAAAAATAAAAATAAAAACTTGAGAAAAAGGAGGGGGGGGGGGGGTAATACCTACCTAACGATTTTGTAATATCAACCTTTTGGCTGAGAATCTTCATCTGTCCTCTGTTTTAAAACAAATACAATCAAGAACTTCTTTTGTTTTTTTTTCAGTTTTTTCCCGCTCATAGCATTCATGTACTCATGGAAAACATGACTTTTATTCAAACTAATGATTTTCGGATTCTGAAACTCTAAATTTTTTAGTCTAAAAAATGAAATTTAAAAACCTGCTTAAAACGAAAATGAAGCCGGAAATACTTAAATAACTTATTTCGAAACGAATTTTGCATATTTGAGCATTTATTTTGATAAAAACTTCTAAATTTGCTGCGAATTTAGAAAAATCATATTTTGCATGAATTGTGAGAATTAGGGTGAGTCAATAATTGCCTGACACTGAACTCTATTCTAATAAAGAAAAGGTGTAGCCCAATTTTTGCCCGACAGGCGCGAAAAATCCGGGTAAATTTGAGCACATTAAAATAAGTGCACAAAAGAAAACGCTGGACTGGACGGATCCTAAAATACAAAATACATAAACATATATAATAGGCTGGACTGGACGGATCCTAAAATACAAAATACATAAACATATATATAATCTGCCTGGGTGTAGATGGCCTGCAGCCCAGATAAGTCGGGTTGGCTGGATCAACGTTCACTTAAGAATATTAAAAATTAGAATACTTTTCAAGTATTTGATCATGAATTTTTTGGGTCTGTCTTCAACCTTTTGAAAATCTAAACTAACATTTTTTTTAGGAAATAAAATAATAAGAATTTTTTTCTATATATTGACTATTTGCCTTATCAAAACAGAATCTAAGATATGCCCTTTTTAAATGAAAACACAAAATTGTAACTCCTAACGTTTTATCTATATTATTTAAAAATATGCAAGAATAACTATCTGGGGTTATTAAGTTTTTTATTAATTTCAAAAATACATCTTTCTAGAGTTTTTTTTTACCTTGATAGAAATGTTTATCTCTTCTGAACAAATTGTTCTTGTTTTCCACGTAGATGTACACTTTGTTATACACACTAGCATCCCTAGTCCTGATAATAAATATTGTATTTAATGGACTGTTCACATATTTATATGATCTATAGAGTGTACCAATTATTCAGTTTGCAACCCTTCAAGTAATTTCACATTATCCGAGATCAATTTTTTTATTTTTAGATATATACCAAGGGCCTCTCAGAAAAGGGGCAAGTGGGAATGCCCCCCCCCCCCACTCAGACTCTTAAAGGGGAAATACTAAATAGCCCCCCCCCCCTCCTCCACATCCTATATCAAATCCTGTATACACCCCAGATCGAAACAAGTAAACTCACTTTTATTTATAAAAAATCGAATCCTCTGTATCATTATTGGTACCAATTACAACTTTCCTAAACATCTGAACAATCCCTTTACCTAGTATATTTGTAAATATAAAAAACCTAGGCTACATAAACGAACAAGATGGTTTACAAATCTACTGTATTTTTGTATTTCCACCCGCAATCTTTTTTCCTCTTTCCGAATATAAAATTCGAAAGACATTAATTTACGATAACATTTTTTATTCAAAAGTTTGCTTCCATAGCGGAAGCAAATTTTTCCGCAATAATGAGCAAATTTGCTTGCGTGTTCCTCAAATTTCGAATTTTTGCGCGAAAATAATTTTTGTGAAAGCAAGGCTTAAATGGTGCGCAATTCAGCGCAAAAAAATCTCAATAACCTACAGTTGACATCAGACATGGCATGGTTTAATAGGTTTGTGTCCTAATTATATATTTTCTGTTTAGTTTTGTTCATATCTTTTTACAGTGCAATAGACAATGCTCTGAACAAATACGGTTTAGCACGTAGAAACTATAAACATTAAGCAGTACTAACTCAGACGCTTGCTACAAGCCTTCTCTCATATAATTCAAAATGGAACCATGAAATAGATTTTATTTTTATTTAGCATGACTCTGAAACCTTTAACAAATTATAATAAGGGACTAAATCCTTCATATTTCGGATTCACAAGAGTACCCTTTACATCTTTATCTGAGCAACAGTGATGAAGATATCGTGGTTGAATTCTGTCAATTCTATTCCTTTTCTCTGGGCCACAAATCCGTCAATTTGTTTTAAGAGTTAGAACAATTAACATTTTCGGATCCAGAGAAATCTTAGTAAATTTCGCTCAGTAGAAGGTTTGAAGGGTACCGTTGTGAATCTGAAACGCCACTCAAGAAAATATTATAGAACTAGATTGCCTTTTATACTGTCCTTCCTGCCATTCATCTCATCATACTTCCTACCTCTGTCTGTACTCTGTCGACATTCGTATAATCCTTCCTGCTTCTACCTTTCGCCAATCCTACCTCTGCCTTTCGTCCGTCCTGTCTCTCCCTACCATCCTTCCTGCCTCAGCCTTCCGTCCTTCGTGCTTATGCCTTTCGCCTTTCATGTCTCTGCCTAAAGTCCTTCCTGCCTCTGCCTGCCGATCTTCCTGCCTCTCCCTTCCGTCCTTTCTACCTCTAACTACCGTCCTTCCTTTCTCTGCCTGCTGTCCTTCCTACCTCCGCCTATCGCCCTTCCTGCCCCTTCCTGCTTCTTGCATTTGACTGCCTCCCAAGTTGACCTGCATGTAAATGTTCCAGTGTCGGAGAACTTTGCATTCTTTAGTCTCAGCTCTGAAGAGTAGGGTTCAAGAGCTCCGGGGTCTACCGTTAGTTCCACCATCTGGATTCTTTAACAAAAATAAATATAACCAAATTTTTTTGTATTCTTTAATATTTATTTTCTTCAGATTTTACCTGGTTTCCATTTCCTCTTGGAGCAGTTTACTCCCAGCATACTCCCATTCCCATAACACACTTTCTACACCACTACACCTGTACAGTTTATAGTGTACAGCATACACTCTAAGCACCACTACACATATACAGTTAAAAGTGTACAGTATACACTGTACACTCTATACCCCACTACACCTGTACAGTATATAGTGTAAAGTATACAGTGTGGAGTACAGTAAAGTCAGTATAAACACTCCTTCTATCTTACTTTTTTAGTACAGTAAAAAGAAAGTACGGTATATTCCTAGAGAACGATTTTTGGACCCACCCCCCCAGGCCCCCCCCCCTCCTATCAATTTTGTCATGGATCGTACAGAAAGTGTCTCAACTTAACCTAACCCGTGGCCGCAGCGCTCGGCCCCCTAGCCCATCCTAGCCTCAGCGCTCGGCCCAGAAAGTGTCTTAACCTAACCTAGCCTTAAATAATGCTAAATAAATACTAATTTGGTCATGTATAAAATTGATAGGAGGGGGGGGGCTGGGGGGGGGGTCCAAAAATCGTTCACTAGGACAGACCCGAAAGTACAATATGGTAAATACTCCAAAGTATCCAAAGACCCCTATTGGTAACTCTAGGTATGAGCAATGCAAGCGAATTTATTTTTAAAATAGTAATAAATGTTAAAATTAATTTCGTGAGTGCATGCCGAGTGTAGACTGCATAGACTGTAGTGTTGGATTTAAATATTTGTGAAATTGGGAAATAAATGTCAGAAAGTGATGGTAATAGTAAACTTGTGGGGGAAAAAGAGAAATAGCAAACTTTTATTAGAGAAATAGAAAAAGCATATTATAAAGAGAGAAAAAGACAAGTGTTTAGAGAGGAAGAGAAAAAAGGCAAACTATTTGGAGAGAAAGAGAAATAGCAAACTATTGAGGAAAAAAGAGTAAAAGCTAACTATTGAAGGAGAAAGAGGAAAAGCAAACTATTGAGGAAGAAAGAGAAAAAGTAAGCTATTGAGGAAAAAAGAGTAAAAGCTAACTATTGAAGGAGAAAGAGGAAAAGCAAACTATTGAGGAAGAAAGAGAAAAAGTAAGCTAATGAGGAAAAAAGAGTGAAAGCTATAACTATTGAAGGAGAAAGAGGAAAAGCAAACTATTGAGGAAGAAAGAAAAATAGCAAACTATTGAGAGAGAAAGAGTAAAAGCTAAATATTGAGAGAGAAAGAGAAAAAACAAACTGCTAAGAGAGACCTACAATTTTCAGGAATTACTCACAGAACATATTATAATAAAAACAGTTACCCCGCTCATAGTGCGTGCCATTTTTGTATTTGTGAACACCTTGTTGTGGACAGAACGTTCGTATTTTCACCAAAATTGATTTAGTTTTTACTTGAATTTTAAATACTACCTTAAAGTAATGTCTTCTTGTTCTTTCACCAAAATATAATCTAATTCCAGCTCAGTATGTTCCGTTATCAACTAAATTTATTAGAAAATACAGATTTTTTTATAATACATTCTGCTACATATAGAGATGGGAACGTTCGACTTTTTCATTTCGTTCGTTTAGCTTTTGTGAACGACCCATTTTTATCAATCATTCAAAAACATTGGTTTCGTTCGTTCTCAATTTTATCGTTTGTTCAAAAAATATCATTCGTTCAGTAAAAAACGATAGTTTTTTTTTCAAAATCATTTAGAAAATTCGTTCGTTCAGTAAAAAACATAAGTATTTTTCAATTTCGTTTTTTTCGTTCTTTTTTCAAAAATGATCATTTTTTCATTTCTCTGAACGGTCCATTTCGTTCGTCCAACTTATTTTTTTTCCTGAACGACACCTTTTTCACAAAAAATTTCGTTCCTTCTAAAAAATGTCGTTCGTTTAAAAAACACAATGCCCGTTTTTAGCTACAGATATAATTGCTAAAAACACGAAAGCTAGAAATGCGTTTATTAGAAGAGAAAGATAACTGTTTACTTTTAGTATTAATTTGCTTTTCTTTCTGTAGTATTCTGTAGTATTGATGAAAAAACATGCAAATTATAAACATCAGTTTCTATTTAACAAATTTCTAGCTCTTTTGATTCTAGCAATTATATCCCAAGAAAATTGTTGGTTGGAGAAGATGGAGTAGATAGAGGAGGGGAGGGAGGAAGATGTATAAGAGGGAGGGAGGGAGATTGAGGAATTGAGNTGGGTTTCCATCTATTTATAAAGGAAGTTGAAGAAATCTATTTCCCAGAGGGAAACTTGAGATTCTAGTTTAGCCTGGATCCTTTCAAGTTATTCTAGTTTAGAGAGGATCCATTCAAGGGATTCTAGTTTAGAGAGGATCCTTTTAAGGTATTCTAGTTTAGAGAGGATCCTTTCAAGGGATCCTAGTTTAGAGAGGATCCTTTCAAGTTATTCTAGTTTAGGGAGGATCCTTTCAAGGTATTCTAGTTTAGAGAGGATCCTTTCAAGGGATTCTAGTTTAGAGAGGATCCTTCCAAGGGATTCTAGTTCAGAGAGGATCCTTTCAAGGGATTCTAGTCTAAAGAGGATCCTTTCAAGGGATTCTAGTTCAGATATGATCCTTTCAAGAGATTCTAGTTTAGAGAGGATCCTTTCAAGGGATTCTAGTTTAGAGAGGATCCTTTCAAGGGATTCTAGTTCAGAGAGGATCTTTTTCAGGGATTCTAGTTTAGAGAGGTCCCTTTCAAGGGATTCTAGTTTGGAGAGGATCCTTTCAAGGTTTTCTAGTTTAAAGAGGATCCTTTCAAGGGATTCTTTTATTGGATTCGAGTTCAGAGAGGTTCCTTTCAAGGGATCCTAGTTTAGAGAGAATCCTTTCAAGGGATTCTAGTTTAGAGAGGATCCTTTCAAGGTATTCTAGTTTAGAGAGGATCCTTTCAAGGGATTCTAGTTTAGAGAGGATCCTTTCAAGGGATTCTAGTTTAGAGAGGATCCTTTTAAGGGATTCTAGTTCATAGCATTGATCTCTTCAAATTTAAAAGATTCACGTGTTAGAGCTTGGAAATAACCCAATTCTTCTTAAAGAGACTGTTCGCGTAATGGAAAGTGTCCCTCCACGGAAAGAATAATTTACAGAAATCATTTATTTAAAAATATCTTCGTTGAGACTTTTGAAAACAAAAAAACGCATAAGATAAATAATTATAATTGGCTTCTACAGGGTTACTCACAAAAAATTAGATTTCAGAAACGATTGTACGGAAGTCGTTTTAACTGTTTTCATGCTTTCAATTAAATGCAGAAACCAAAATTCAAATCGTCATATTTTTAGTTTTGGGTCGTCTTTTCAGTCTCATCCTTTGTGGGTAACCCTGAATTATGACAGAAAAATGTTTACGAGTATTTGTGTATAAAACCCTGAAATTTACCTTGAAGCCTGGGGCTGTAATAGTTAAATTTTCAGCTTTTTCTTGGGCATACACTCTTGATATCACGAGCACAGCGAGATATATTACAGATCTCATTCTTGGATATTTTGTTTTTGAAATCTTCTCACACCATCATTTTATTCTCTAGACTTTGTGTGAAGTATATCGTTTTGTTAACAAATCTCATTGCGCAGTCATATTTTCTGAAAAAAATATAAAATAAAAAAGATCAAGCCCACTCGAAACCCAAGCAAGGTGTTCACACAAAAAAATAATACGTAAAAATGTTACTAACAATGAACATTGTTTACTTGCTAAAATTTACTGTTTTACAAGGATTAAGTTATCATGCAGTTAAACACCTTTTCTCTTATCTGTATTGCGTTTTAGATTAACACATAATGTATGAATTCTGCGAGGGTAGGGGTAGTGCCGTGGTGTTTGCCGGGTTGGGGGGGGGGGGGGGTAATTCAATGAAAAAATAAAAGTAAAAAGTTTAATGAATTTTTGGTGAAATATCATCTTTTCTGTGAAAGTTGGGTTACCTAGGTTAAAAAAATTAAAAAAAATATGGTAACAGTTGATAAATATAAATATTAAAATTATAGATATCCATGGTTTTTTTTATATTATCTATATAATAAAACAAGACATTCAAATATATGTTGCGTATAGCTGGCCAAACGGCTTGACCGATTGGGCTGAAACTTTTTGTGGACACTCAGGTGTGGCCGGGGACCGTTATAGGCTAAAAAATTGAGAAAAAAAATTTTCCTCAAAATATTTTTAGTTTATTTCTTTTTTCACGGGCAACGCCGGGCCCTTCAGCTAGTAATATATAATTTAAGAGACATCAGATATTTCAACTTTTTGTTTAATCAAATCGTATAGCTCACTCCAAGTTACAACATTGTATATATTTTTCTAAAGAACTAGCTTGAAAATGTCGTAAATTATCAATAGCAACATGTTATTATTTATATGCAAATGATCAATATGTTCATAAATATTTTTATAATCTTTAATCCCTTTCGCACACTAAGAGGACATTTTTGGTTTTCTGCTGAAAAGTCGAGAGTTTCCATAAAAAATAACATCAAAGCACAAAACACTATAATATGACCAAATGAAAAAATGCGTATACGTTTTTCTTTCAAATAACAGAATGTATAAAGCCAAAAGTAATGAATGTATAAAGCTATAAAGTACAGAACAACAGATTCAAAGTTAAAGATTAAAGAAGTAAGTAAGGTGATTCAAATTTGAACCGGGGGTAGGTAGTTCAAATTTGAACCGGGGGTAGTCAGTTCAAATTTGAACCGGGGGTGGTCAGTTCAAATTTATTAAATTCAGACCGGCCCTATATACTCTATAGCGTGAAGGTCTAAAAAAAGCTAAACATATTTTATGACATTTTTCGAGAAAAGAACATGTTTTCTGATGGTAAAATAAGGGTTCTTCTCTACAATAGGATGAGTTAAACTAAAAATATAAATTCAGAACAACTTGTCTGGTGTTTATATGATCAAGCCTTTAATAATAAAATTCTTAATCACTACATGACTCACTATTCACTTTACTTAATCACTTAATCACTACATGACTCACTTTAACTTTTACTCACATTGATTTGTCATCAATGACACATTAATAATTCCATCCTAGATTCAAGAAAATTGATTCGTGAATTTTAATGATATATCCAAAAGATAAAACAAGCTTGTTTGGTTGCTTTCAAACTAAAATGGTAAACCATGTACTGGCTATTTTATATATTTTTGTTGACCGTAAAATTTTATATAATAAATTAAAAAAGTCTTTTGCGATATTTTCGACGGATTTAAATATGACTGAAAAAATGTCAATCCAGGCAGGACGTACTTCATTGTTTAGTTAGTTTTACGTGACGCGAACAGATGATTTCGTTAATTGTACATAGATCCACAAAGTTGTGGTTTATTAAAACGACAATTAATGGGACAGACCGGTTATGTAAGGTAGTTAAACTGAGTATGCAGAGTTGTGAACAAATTCTTTAGGATTCATTTGAGACATATAAAATGCTTCCACGATGTATAATTACTGAGTTTGAGTGTATGTCGACGTTCAAAATCACGAATTTGGGTGGGTAGGTTTTCAGAATAGGGTTTTCTTAAATTATTCAATTTAGCAATGACGAAAAATAAATAAATCAATGCTAGAATCAATTTTTTCGTTTTCATCATTGTATTGAATTTCTTATTTTCTATGAATTTATTCGCAGATTTCTACAAATTCTTCAAATGTCGTCTTTTTAATAAAAATTCCAGAAAATCTTGTGAATAATTGAGAGATTATAGAAACTAATAATTGAATAAGATCACTTATTTTCTAAGATTAATTTTCATTTTCTCAACCTGTTCCTAAACAACTAATTAGATTACTGTAGAATTTTGTTTACATTTTTTGTTGTCGTTATTTAATAATAAAAAAAATTCTGAAAAAGTATCCACCCAAAAGTACGATTTTGAACTTTGACTTTGTGCTAAAACTCAGGATTTACAGATCTTTAAAAAGTTTTATACGTCTTAAATGAATCCTAAAGAATTTGTCCACAACACTGCATACTCAGTTCAACTACCTTACCTTTAAGCAATCCGGTGGGTATTTAATATTGCTATAAAGCAAATGATTGAACCACTAGCTACTATCAAGTAAAATGGGTCTGCTGTGCAGTGCAGAGTGTTTTTAATTGTTTTGGTTGGTTTTTGGAACGATTTTTTGCATATTCGATCTCTTAGAGCCATCATTTGGCATATGCCATGAAAAGTAAATATTTTTAATATTTTATGCTCTAAATATTTTTAATATTGTATATTCTAAATATTTTTGAAATTGTATATTCTGAATATTTTCAATATTGTATAATCTAAATATTTTTAATATTGTATATTCTAAATATCTTTAATATTGTATATATTCTAAATATTTTTAATATTGTATATTCTAAATATTTTTAATATTTCATATTCACAAAGATAGTTTTTTAGGTTCGTTTTCTCATATTTTTTAGTTTTATATATGAATATTGCAAAGTTTAACAAAACCCTGTTTTTAAATATTAGAAGTTTTATTAAAAGTTTTAAAAAATAAACTAAAAGGATTAGCTGTGTACGCTGAAAAGTTGCTGAGCTTGATGTTCACTTGACTGTTCTAAATTTTAACTTGAGTCTAAAACTTGTCTTTTTTTTTACACAGTTTTATAGTTTACTGGTTCTCACTGTATGGTTTACTGTAGTTCTTTCTTTATCATAAACAAACAGAAAATGGGCGCGAACCACCTCTCTTTACAAAATGTAAGTAAAAACTAAAGAACTAGTTCTCTTCCCTTATCTTTCCTTCATATGTTTACTCATTACTCACATTATATAAACACATGATTTAAACCTTATAAATTCATTGCACATATTTCACTACAGCTTGAAATTACCGGAAGAGATTACATAGAATTAGGGATGTTAACGTTTTAATTTTTTTAAACGATCGTTTCGTTATGAAAACAACGACGAAAAATCGAAAACGAAAAGATCGTTTTTAAAAACGATCATTTTTATAAAACTCGTCGTTTCGTTAACGATCGTTAACGAAGAGAGGAAACCGACCTTAAGTGCACCTGTACTTATCATTGAGTAGTTTTTAAGAAAATATTTAGAAGTTTTAGCTCCCCCTTAACTGTTTAACTTCATGTAAGACACCATTCAATAAAGTTGCATGCATTTTTTTTCAAAAACGATCGTTTTTCCAAAAACGACCATATTTATAAAGTTCGTCGTTTCGTTAATGATCGTTAACGACGACCAATCGTTAATGATCGTTAACATAATATACATTTTTTTCAAAAACGATCTTTTTTTCAAAAGCGATTGTTTTTTAAAAAACGACGCAAAAAACGATCGTTTAAAGATCCTTCTAAAAAAAACGATTAACAGCCCTACATAGAATCAGACTTCTATGATAAGTTGCATCAATGTTTAAGACTGGGTCGCCTTTAAAGGGTCGTCTTGGCCTTTGATTTTGCCGCACACTAACTTACATATAACTTTTGTGTAGCCCTGGGCAATGCCATGTACATTTTGTAACTTTAAAGCAATTGTTTATAGGTTTAGGTTTTAATAAATAATTGGCAAAATTCGCATTGATTTGGATCACTGTGAGATCAAAGTTTTGAATTTCAAATCTCTGGATTAAGTAGTATAACGTATCTAGTGCGCGGTCGGATTAAATTAATGGTTCTATATGGATTTAAAATATATACTTTTTATTCCGTCACTGTGTGATGGTCGTACTCTGTAGAGATAACCTGAACAGTGAATATCGAGCATTGTAGATTAGCTCTAGTTCGTAGAATAATTTTGACCACCGGTTATTTTCAAGGATGTTTCAAGAGAAAGGAACGTTAGAAGAATTAATTGTTACGGTTTATAAAGTCTGCGTGGTTCGTTTGACTTGAAATATATATATACGTAAACTCTTGCAAAGCTTCACTGGTTTTGATTTAGATCTCAGCACCATATTTTGCGCATTTTCTTTTTGCTTTTTTAACTTTCTATTCTTATATTAAACATTCTTGGGATACGTTTTAGTATTCATTCAATTAACTCCGAAAGTAAACATTTTTGTTGATAACATTAGATAGTTTTGTTTATTTTATTAGCTTTGACTTGACCATTGAAAGGTTTTCAACTAGTTTAATTGTATACATTGTGATGTTTACAATTTTCCCCTCATAAACAGAAAACATCATTAAAAAAATAAATATAAAATAATTCAACTTATATGTTTGATGTAAAACAAATTATCAATGTAAAGGAATGGTTTTCTTAATTCAAAATTTAAAGATATTAAAATTTTTAGCAACGCAACTTAACCTATTTTGCCGCTCACAGATGTGCATAAGCAATTCGCAATTCAGCGTAAAATTTGCGATAATCCTAAGCAATTGCTTTGGATTATCTGTTTTGTATATATGCTTTGATTTTCTGTATGTTTGTTTGTAACTGATAAACGTCATAACGGTTGAACCGAGTGGGTTCAAAACGCACATGGCCCCAGGGAATTGTTAGAATTGAAAAGACTGACTGTTTTTCAAAATTAAAAAAAAAAAATTAAAAAGAGCAACCTTTAAAAGTTAAAATCTAAAATGCGCCTTGCTGAAGTCCAGTAGTTGTAGAAGGTGACAATATAAAGAGAAGAGTTAGAGAGTACTGAGCTTTGTTTTTATACGTGACAGACACTACAGAGAGAATGTGTCTAGGGATTTGGAAACTTAAAGGGACTGTTAGCGTAATCTCAAGTAACCCTCCATGCAAAGATGGCAAGAGCAGTACCCTTAGAAGCATTGTTTTTGTTTCTTTAAAATGTTTATTTACATCATTGGTGGTTTCTATGCAAACATTACTTGCGAATTTCTTGCGTATAAGAAGCAATGGTAAAATTTACAGAAACAAACACTTTTTAATTGAGAAAAACGATGAGATTAAGGTTTCAAATTTCTTTAAACCCTGGAATTTCTTTAACACCGATGAATTCATTTTAAAACCGATGGAACTCCTCGGAGAACCTGGAATTCGTCCCAAACCCTGAGATCTGTCCCAAACCTTGGAATTTGTCTAAAATCCTGTAGTCCTTTCAACTCTCTGGAATCCATCCGGAACCTTGGAATTTCTTCAAAACCCTGGAATACCACAAATTCCTGAATTTCTTCAAAACCCGCCATACCTTTAAAACTCTGGAATTCCTCTAAAACACTGTAATTATTCCAAATACCCGGGACTTTTTTTTGGCTAAAAAAGGCAATTGATAAATTAAAGAGATAGAACGGACGAACAATTATTGCGACACCGTCGATCATCATTTTCTGGATATTCGCGGTTCTTCCTTTTCGTATTAACGGTGTTAAACTGAGCTAGTATATTTATCTAGTTCTCAAATCCAATTAACGGAGCAAAGGCTGCGTATTCCTGTTTAATGTTTACTCAACCTCCATTCCCAAGGGGTGTTTCTAGAGTACAAATAATTAAAAATACTATTTTTATAAATTTATTGGCTTATTAGTGACACATGTGGCCAAATTTTTTCCCCATAAAATGTTGTATCATGCTTGGTAACTTTAAAGAAACGTTCAAAACTAAAGTTTATCGGTAGGTCTTCTTTTAACACATGACAAGTTTTTAAATCACCGATGTTTTGGTTGTTATTTCTAAAATTTAGTAGATATATAACGAAACCTTAAAACCTCAAAAAAATCAAAGATTCTGCCTAAAATTAAAACGTTCTGTTTTCAACAAAAATCAATATATAAAATAAAAGGAAACTTTTTAATTATATAAATTACAAAAAATTAATTAAACATTTGTACTCTATTGGCCATCGGCCAAACCCCTTTTCGCAAAGGTTTTTTCTACAAATATTGAAAATTTCAGAAACAAGAAATTTTTTTAATTGTTCATAACAATTCTGATGATGGTTTTGAAATTTAGATTTTTGAAATAATTAATTGCGTAGATTTTTCCTTTCTATTTTCTTATGTAAAAGTATATCTATGTCAGGTTATTTTCTCCAACATCCCAGGGGACTTGAGAACCGACACAGTTATCTATAGCTTTTATACACACCGAGAACCAGAAAAGAATAGTTAACGAATTTAAGGCAGACTTTAGCCCAATAAACATAAGACACAGCAAATAGTGAACAGACAATAAGTGATTTAATAAGTTACCAGTAAACCTATTTGCTTTGCCCCAAAATTAAATACATCTAATCATTGTCGTATCCTATCCCGCAATTTTCTGGCTCTCCCTATACACAAATGTATCCTCACTTTAGCCAGGGGCGGATACCAGGGGGAGTCTCCTAAGCACCTGGAGGGGGAGGGGGGGCCGGCCCTTTCAAAAGGAAATTATTGATATGAAATAAAAGAATTAAGGGATGAAAGATACAACGAAAATAGTAAATTGAATAAATGACCTGAACTGAATCCGAATTTAAAGAATTTGAGCCGCGGCTTAAATTTAAGCCGCTGCTTAAATATGGTTGGTTCCTCTTAAAATTGTTCAAATGTTTCAAGATTTAAGCCTGCGCCTAATTTAAACCGGGTTTTGCGGATTTAAGCCGCGGCTCAAATTCTTTAAATTTGGCCTCAGAAATACCTTTTAAAATTATTTTCTCATTATTATATTTATATTACTAATATGCACGAATGCCATTTGGTTGTGTGTCTCATTATAAATCATAAATCATAAATGTTTATCTTTCTCTTAAAAAAAGGAAATTATTCAAAACGAAAAATGTTCAGGGTGGTTTAAATGATTATTTATTCTTTTTTGAATTATCTTTCTTTTTATCATTTTAAAAACCAGAAAACATTATTTTTGTGTTTTTGAAAAAAGGAAAATTCTTGAGTTAAATATTTCATACAGTGATAACCAGAAAACAATAGAATATAAAGACGACATTATAGCAATATTCAAGTGTATGGTACAAAGCAGATATTTGTACTAGTAACTTAGCAAAACACTATTTAAGTGAAATGGGTCCGTCTACACTGTAAAATTGCTATGTCTAATGTTCATTGAACTACTTTAAGTCATAGCTTGAGTTTAAAAGTAATCTTCCTATTTCAGAGTTTTCTGTTTATCACTGTAAAAATTCATTAAACACGTAATAAAAAGGATTTATTAAATTATTAGTTAGTGCTCTAAAAAGAATAGATAATCACCAACATTATTACTTTTGATTTGATATGTAAAAATTTATATTGAACTTTAGCAAGTTTAAAGTATCAGAGGTCTGGAAGGTCTCATAATTGAATATCTCCAGTCAAACAATATATTTTTTGGCAAATATTTCACTCTTTCACGTTTTCTCCAACCATCATAAGTCCTAACTAATTTAAAAAGGAGAAAATTTGGTATGAGGTACTTTCCCAAAGGCATTTTTCCAAAGGCGACTTCCTAAATGACAATTTCCCAAGCGGCAACTTCCAAAAGGTTAGGTTAGGCCCTCGGGCGCTGCAGGGTGCAATGGGGACCAAGCGCCGCGGCTAGAACAGGTTGGGGGATGAGCGCTGCGGCTAGGAAAGACTTGGGAAGTTGCCGCTTGGGAAATTGCACATTTGGGAAGTTTTCACTTAGGAAAATACCCTTGAGACGTTGCCACTTGGGAAAATCCTATGAGAAAGTACCTAACATCGAAAATTCATATTGTTTTTTTTATGGAAAATTTGTTTTAAATGTGATAATAATTAAGAAATTGGAAATTTACTGCTTGTTTTAGATTCTTAGGGGTGGCACCAAATTTTTTTTACGCGCTTACGCAAATATGTGCCCCCCCCCCCCCCTGTGATATAGGTTTGATCCGCCCCTGACTTCAGCCAGTTGTGGTTATTAACTTTTAGTTAAAAACTGGAACTAGTCATTAGTTGTGCAAAATTTTGGGAGGTACTTCGACCCTAAAATCAAAATTTTGGGAGGTACTTCGACCCTAAAATCAAAATTTTGGGAGGTACTTCGACCCTAATTTTGGGAGGTACTTCGACCCTAAAATCAAAAGAATGATTTCTTCGCAATGACATTTTACCCTTGCACAATTGGGATGCGTGAAACAATTACTTTTGCATGCAATCTATTTTTTTACATCAAAACACATAAATATAACAATTATCTATATCTGTATCTGTATCTACGTATCTGTATCTATATCTGTATCTGTATTTACGTATCTGTATCTGTATCTGAAGCTGTATCTATATCTACGTATCTGTATCTGTATCTGTATCTGTATCTGTATCTGTATCTGTATCTGTATCTGTATCTGTATCTGTATCTGTATCTGTATCTGTATCTGTATCTATATATGTATCTGTATCTACGTATCCGTATCTGTATCTGTATCTGTATCTGTATCTGTATCTTTATCTGTATCTACGTATCTGTATCTGTATCTGTATCTGTATCTACGTATCTGTATCTGTATCTACGTATCTGTATCTGTATCTGTATCTGTATCTGTATCTGTATCTGTATCTGTATCTGTATCTGTATCTGTATCTGTATCTGTATCTGTATCTGTATCTATATCTGTATCTGTATCTACGTATCTGTATCTGTATATATATCTGTATCTGTATCTACTTATCTGTATCTGCATCTGTATCTGAATCTGTATCTGTATCTGTATCTGTATCTGTATTTTTTAATTATATAATCGCGAAACCTCTTCTAGAAATAATCTTTTTAAATTTATTTATTTTACTAAACATGATTAAATAACACTTTTTACATCGATGGGTTTTATAAACAGTAACAAATGACGTAGTTAGGTTATCACACTATAGGTTTTATAAATCACAATGTAGAAAAAAGGAGAAATCAAATTTTAAAAAAATCCTTTGGTCATATATCAAATAATTAGTAAGTAAAAACTGAACAAGAGAATTTTTTTATTTTAAAGGAAGTCTTGAAAAATTCAAAATTTTCATTTTTATTTTTTATTCATATTTTTGTCTTTTGACTGTTTGTACAATGTAACAGAAAGTTAAAAGAAATTAAAGGAAAAAAGTAATTTTGTAATTATGAGTATTTCAGATTTAACTAGTTTTGTGACTAAATTGTGATAAAAATAACAAAAAAAATGTATTTGAATGACTAACATCAATAAAATGACTATAAAAACTATAAAGTAACAAATCATAAACATCTTATTCATAACATTATATATTAAAAATAGATTAATAACAACCAGTTAAATTGTTGAAATGATTTCGACTGACAATCTCGTTTTTAACAATTTATTCATCAGTTTAATTGGAAACACGTTTCTCACAAAAATGAGATTCAAAACAATTTTTGAGATTCTTGATTCAACAAAAATACAAAATGGAAAGCTTTGAGATTTTTGATTCAACAAAAAATACAAAATGGAAAGTTTGAGATTCTTGATTCAACAAAAAATTGCAAAATGGAAGAATTTTTTTTTCGCAGATTACTAGGAAGACCATTGAGCTGTTACTGCAGAGTTGCGATTTTTAAACATGTTTTGCAATCGGAACTAATTATTATAGATCAATAATAATCGGAAATGATCGAAACTATTCGGAAGTGATCGGACTATAGGAAGTAAATTTTCATCTATTCGAAAGGAAGAAGCTTGTTAGCTCTGATGGTGCACGCGTTGGATAACATGAGTATTATTATAACCAGATATAAAGCTCTACTTGAAAAAGGAGCAAACAAAAAGTTTTTAGAAATTGTTTTTTCTAGAAATTTGAAGATTTCAAGGATTACAGTGATTCGAAGGATCCATCGCTATCCTGAAATTAAAACAAAAATGAAAAAAATAAAATTTAAGATATTTTTATAGTTATTTCTGTTATTTCTTTAAATTTCTAACCTGAAGCCTATACAGCTGTTGATGAGGGGAAACTACAAACGAAGAACCACCGTCCCTATCCGCCATGGTCCGACCCTCCTGGTATAATATTAAATTAAACGAAGAACCACCGTCCCTATCCGCCATGGTCCTACCCTCCTTTAATAATATTAAATCAAAAAGAGTACGCACTTATCAGGGCAAACATATGGTGAGGACGCACAATGAGGACACACAATGAGGACACACATTGAGGACGCACATACAGGATGTATATTGAGGACGCATATTTAGGACTTATATTGAGGAGAAGATACATTGAGAACGCCCATACCGGATGGACATTGAGGACGCACATTTAGGACTTACACATTGAGATTGCACATTGAGAAGATACATTGAGAAAGCCCATACCGGATAGACATTTAGAACGCACGTAGTAAGGACTTACATTGAGGACACCCATTAAGGACTTACCTTAAGTAGGCACTATTGAGGACGTACATTGTAAATTAAGGACGCATATTGATGACGTATTTTGATGAGAGACATTGAGGACTGTGCATTTTTTATTAAAGACGTCATTTAGAAAGCAAATTGAAGACGTACATAAAGAACGCACACTATTGAGAACACATTAAATGGAGCGCTAAATTTTTAGGACAAACATTGGGGACGCCACAAGTGTGACATACGTACATGAAAACATGCTTCACAGATCTAGGATTAAAGTCTACATAGTTTAATTGCTGTTCAATGAGAGTTCAAAATTGGTTTGGTTAAGTAGTATCATATAATTTCTAAATAATTCAACCACAACACCTTTTTAACTACATAAAGTTAATGCAAGGGTTAAACAGATGCTATAAAATTAATTAAATTTTGAAAATGAATGAAAAACCTAGATTATTTTCTTTAAATGAAAACAGAAATTTTAAATAATGTTAAATAAATGAGTGTTATATTAATGAATTTAAAAGGAATACATATTAGATAAAAAATACTATATATGAATAAGCAAAAGATAAAAAAAATGTTAAATAAACTTTAACGAAAGGATGAAAGGATGAAAGGATGAAAGAAAATTGTATCAAAAGGATGTTAAGAGAAAAGCAGTGCTTAGGATCCATTTAATTTTGATCCAACGGATTCGGCAACACGGTGAAAGAATGAATGAAAGAATGCTGCATACCTCTGAGGTCCTGTTTGACCTATTACTCCTTTAGGAGGTTCCAGCAGGTTTTTAAAGAATGAATGAAAGGATAAAAGGATGAATAAAGGTTGAATTAATTGATGAAGGAATAAATGAATGAATACCTCTGAGGTCCTGTTTGACCTATTACTCCTGTAGGAGGTACCAGCAGGGGTATGGAGTTTACGGGTAACAGGTCTAAATAACACAAATAATTATAACCATAAAATTAATTACAATAATGATATAAATCATCCATATAAAATAAAAAAAAAATAAAAAAATTTAAAGGTAAATAAAACAAAAACATTTAAACAATAAATTTTGTTTAAATGAAAATTCCTAAATAAAAAAATTTGATGTTTTTTGTGATAAAAGATTTCTTATTTTTCTCCAATCTCCAGATAATTGGAAACCTTATCTATATGTTAATCAAATACAAGCTCCGCACACATAGCAAATAATAATCATAAAAAGATAATTACAGAATAAGTGGAAATTATGTAAATATGAAACAACGCAAAAAATATTTTTAAAAATCTCAAATTAGTGTCGATTCTAAAATATTTATTTTACACAAAAAAAACATGTTTTTACGCATGATACAGGGATACCCTGTAAAAATGAGACGTTTTAACAGACGACAACATGGAAATTATTCAGACTGTTTACTTACAATTAAATTAAGGTTCTTTGCAAGTTGCAGATTTTAGCTTGTTTCTCTCCTATAGTCTATTATATAAATCCAGACACTTTTCACTTTCTTAGCTAGGTTTAATTGTGTATACATTTACTATACTTTTTTGTTGGGGTATTTATTCAAATGGTAAAGTATAAAGTCTTTTGACCAAATATGAGTGAGCATATTGGTATAAAGTGCAGACAGGAAGTTATACTTCGTTGAAGTTAGTTTTACGTTTTGTAGGCATACATACATCACAGCTTCATAATATAAAGGTTTACCAACCTAATAATAGTCTCATTGTATGACCGTGAGACAGAGTGTGTGTCTGCTCTCTCCACCATGTCCAGGTCCCCTCGAGATACGGACCTATGGAAGGTCCCCACGGACTCACCGCCATCGGACTGGAACCCCTCCAGGAGCGGGTCCACGGAACCGCCGCGTTTGCCTCTGAAGCCACCGGCAAAGGATGGTACGGACGGGCGGCGGTGGCGGGATGCCAAAGAAGCAACCTCGGAGATTGCACGATTTTTCTATACAAAATATANAACTTCTTAAAAAGTAAATAGCTACCAGTAGAACCAACTAGTTAACTAAAATGGGTCTGCTATTCTGCTAAATTGCTATGTTTCATGTCCATTGGAATATTTATAATCATTTAGTTTTTGAGTCGTATTCCACAATTTTATGATTATTACTCTACCTCTGTGGTGGGAGTGCTGAATCTTTCCCTTTCGTCATCACTGAACCCTGAACTCCGGGTCGGACCAACCTTAGCTCTAGGGATGGCTAGAGATGGTTTAGCAGGTCGGCTGGTCAGAGGGGCGGGGTGGAGGCTGGGGGCGTGGCTCCCTCGAGATCCAGTAGACCCAAAATGGTCTTGCCAGGGGTGGGAAGAGCTCCGCATTGATTGATTGGATTGAAGAGAACTGGGTTGCCTCTGCAATGATAACGATGATAATAATAATAATAATAATGATAATATTAATATTATTAATTATAATGATTACAACAATACTACTACTACTAAGATAATAACAACCTGTTGTCGTGTACGGCTCGACATCCCTGACTTTACAGTGCCATGATCCATAATCAAATTATGCCTCATATTCGGAGGTAGACGGGCCATACTCACTCCATAGGGCACTGAACAATTATACAAAATAACATTTTTTTATCGCAAGAGTATCTTCAAACCAATTGTTTATCGTAAAATGAAAAAATCTAAAATCATGTTTCAACAAATATATGTGTTTAACTGTTTCTTTTTTTAAATAAAAATGTACGAAAAATAATACATAGCTTCCTTATGGGAAATCACGATAATTTTCCAAAATTACATTTTTGTTTAGTTTTAAAAAGAGTGGGTTTTCAAAGAAATGTTTTTATACGAGGAAAAATAAAAATCTGCTTACTTGGAATATTTCTCTTCCTGCGATCCTTACAGCAGAAGCAGGAGACCCCGCAGGCGATCAGCATCATGAGGGTGGCGGAGACTGCTCCGACAATCAGGAGGAGTTTAAGATTAATCTGACAGTTCTTACCAGCGAACCAGGGCTTACATGCACAGGATACCTGAGTTAACATTAATCTTACTAGAAGGGTACACCCGATCCGATTTTTGCATGATCAGAACGTTCAATAAAACACATTAAATATTTAAAAAAGCATTTTGCGAATCCATAAATCTCTGATTTTAAATAACTAAACACAGTTGGTAGAATGAACTATAATGAATTTCGTTTTCAAAATACAGTGAAATAGGACGACGACTTTTACTTGCATCAAACAGTCGTCTTCCTATTCCACAGTTTTATAAAATTAAAAACATTACCTGTTCCTTCTCCAGGACGCATTGTCCGTTCTTGTTGCAAAGATCACATTCCGTGCTTGCGCTCGTGCAAACTCGTCCGGTCAACCCTTAAACATTTCAGGAGTTAGAACTTTGGTTTTGTTAATCTCGGGACGAAGAATAGATTTCAATCTTATGCAGACATTCTGATTAATTAAATTCATCTTAAATATCCCGTGATGGTCATAACCTGTATGGATAACTGTAATTAAAGGATAAAGTATTGATCCTCCAATTTAAAAGTGTCCACACTGGATATCTAGATCAAGTGTTCAAGATTAACGATACTCCACACAATAGTTCTGACCTCAAGTCCAATTTTTTAAATCACGCAACCTCGAAATGATTTACCTTTTCGTGGATTTATTAAAGCAATCAACTACTGAGAGAAAAATGGATCAGTTTCAGCAAAAATGAAAATTTTTGTAAATGATAATCTCCAAAAGTTCAAATTTATAAGTTATCTCAATACCAACCATAGTCAAACACCCATTTTTTCTTCATATTTTTGTTAAACTTTCAACACTATGACCTTTCAATATTCACAATAACCTTTTACTTAAGAAATATATATTCTACTATGTTAATTGCAGAATTCTAAACTGCTGTACAATATAAGAGTTCCACAATCACGACAAACTGGAGGTCCTGGTTAAAAGTCCAGTTATACTTTTTTACCCATTTAATATAGTTCTTTCGTATTTGCTATTTTATACTTTTTTTTGGTCTATTTATCTTAAGTATTTACGAAAAAAGCCTCTTATGCTAATTTTGACGGAATTTGAATTTGTAGTTAGTTAATTACGTGCACACACACATGTATATAAAGCAAGTACCGTGTACGACGTAATGCAGTCATGAATGTCATTAAATCATCTTACTACATTTTCTATATAAAAAAGTTTTATAAGTTTAAATATAAATATTACCTGTTGATGAGAGATCCAGGAATCCAGATCGACATTCACAATTGTAGGAACCCTGATCATAATAATAATAATTATAAAAATATGATAATGATTATGATATTTTTGAGAATATTAGAAACAACTATGAATAGTAATCATAAAAAGTAACACACAGAACTAATTATGTAAAGTGTCTTTGTCTATGTAAATTTGTACTGTAATGTAATGATAAAGAATACATATACCTTTCTAAATAATAAGTATGAACTATACCTTTGTATTTGTACATAGTTATAAGTATGTACTATACATTTGTATTTGTACATAATAATAAGAATGTACTGTACCTTTGTATTTGTACATGATAATAAGTATGTACGTACCTTTGTATTTGTACATGATAATATGTACAGTACCTTTGTATATTTTCATAATAATAATAATGAACTGTACCTTTGTATTTGTAAATGATAATAAGTATATGCTGTATCTTTGTATTTGAAAAAAATGAAAAGTATGTAATATATCTTTGTATTTGTAAATAACAATAAGTATATGCTGTATCTTTGTATTTGTAAAAAATGATAAGTATTTAATATATCTTTGTATTTGTAAATAATAATAAGTATGTACTGCATCTTTGTATTTGTAAATGATAACAAGTATGTAATATATCTTTGTATTTGTACATAATAATAACTATGTACTGTACCTTTGTATTTGTACATGTAGCGAAGGGACTGCAATCGTTGTACTCCTCGGTCTCGCATTCATCGTAGTCCTCGATACTCACCCTGGACACTTTCACCTCGGTTCCCAGGGGGAACTTGGTACCTAGAGATAAGAATAATCATATGTTAGATCAGATTGCCACAAACTCTTTTTTTCTAATCTTTATATCTTTGCAAACTAATGCAGAAGACATTAGATATTTCAAACTATAAATTTTTAAAGATCAAATAATAAAAGGTTGAAATATCAAAGGTTTAAACCATCATGATTGCAAAAATATAGGCTAAGAAAACTTGAGTTTGTGGCAAAAACTCGATTCAAAGGAATCGAGTCTTTGTCACAAACTCAGATCTTCTAACACCTATAACTTTTCTACCCAATTTCGTAGACCTTAGATTTTTCAAACTATGAATTTTTTAGATCAAATAGTCTAAGTTTGAAAACAAGGGTTTCCACCATCAGGTTGCCAAGATATAGGGATTAGAAAATTTGAATTTGTGGCAAAACCTCAAAGGAAAATCTATTAAATCATTCACTGTCATTTCTATGAAAAATAAGAGAGGTGATTTTTGAACAATGCACAAAGAAAAATGCTCCTAGATAAGGTTAAAATATTTGAAAGCTAAAAAAATAATTTTAAGAACGGAGGGATGAAAGCCCAATCTTAATGAAGATCACATAATAGTTCAGAATGTATTTACGTTTGGCCAGAGTTAGTAGTTTATGAATAGAAAAACGTAGTAGAACTAGATACGGATGTTTGAACTACTACCACATATTGAGATTGGTGGGTAATGCAGAATTATTTAGTTTCTTAAATTAAATTTTTTTCATTTCAGATGTAAATTGTTACACAACTGAAAGGATCTATTGTTCCATATGGAATTTTGTTGTTGTTGTCAATTCAAACCTAGTCAGTAATTTTTTTTATGTCATAACTGGAACTAATACTGCAAAATACTTTATTAAAAAAATTAAAGATAAAAAAATGTACTTGGTGTAAAATTCAAAATGTAAAATAAATTTTTAAGATAATTTGAATGACTTACTTTTTATGCTGGGTTCAAGAAGAGATCTTAAACGTTCCTCTGTAGCGTTCCTGGTCGTAGACTCATCATTAATCTAAACAGTTAATTATTGGTTCTAAATAGTGTCGCAAGATGTCTCTGATTTCAGTTTTTCTTCAATTTTTTTTGTTACAGAACCTAAGCTAACATATAGTTAATAGGAGATAAAATAATTATTTAGATGTTCTCCGTATCATGTCTTTGTAGTAATGTCAAGATATGTCTCTTATAATTATCTGAAAGGCCGGGTTCATTTGCTTAAATTACCAGTTGAAATGTATTGATTTCAATGCTTGCTATTCTGTTAAAGATAAGATTCGTATGAGATAAATCTGAATTATTTGGTTTAAAATTCCTCCGCATTCCATTATACATTACGGCATTCCTGTCAAAATATATAACATTTTTCATCCAATTATGCTCGTCCATTAAACTCCTGGACATTGTAAATTATATTACCAACCATTAAATCCTTGATGTATGTTAGGTATTTAAGTTCTTCTAATATCTAATCTATCTTTGACTCGTTCATATTGTTCTTCTTTTAGTGAAAGTCTATAAATCAAAGTTAAGAAACGTGAAAACGTAAACTAGGCGTCTGAAAATATTGAAATATTTGTCATTGTTTCGAATAATGTCAAACCATTTCGTCTCAACTTTACTTTCTCTGATATTTTCGAGTTATCATCTATACATTTATATATCTAATATATATTCTAATAAAGATTTATATATTTTACCATTAAATATGTCCATATCTAAATATCCAGATATCTTTCTATATAACCCTTATAGTAAAAATCAATCTATCTATATATTCGTTTATATATCCATCTATTTATCCATATATTAATATAAATCTATATATCTTTATATCCATTTCTTTATCTATCTTATCTATCTTTTAGTATCTTGACATTGAGCCGTCAAACTGTCATTTAATATAACGTAATTTTAATGGCTAAGAATTGAAAATATATAAGAAAAGGTTTAGATACGTGCTTCAAATATTATTCTTTATCCCGAAGTGTTTAGTGAGTCTGTAGGTGAAAATAAGACTATTTAAGTAATGTGTCTTACAATATTATAGGAAAACTGTAAATGAATCATATTAAAACTATGATTTTTATGGTTAATGTGCCCTAAAAAAAACTATTAAGACTACTATAAAAAGTCCTATGAAAAATAAGACTATTAGAACTACTTTTATAGTATGCCGTAAGAAAAATAAATCTATGGAAGAGTTTTACTAACGTACCTCATAGTACATACATCAACTAACAGAATTATTCCATTTAAACATACATTTAAATTTCCTTTTAGAAAGACCCTTCATTTTTAAGGGATTACGGAATTTAGAGGATTTGAATATAGGAAGACAGGGGTTGGGATTAGGGATTTCAAGGTAGGGGATTAGGGCATATTGGGAGATTATAATTTGAGACTTTGCTAAAGGAATTGAGTCTTTGCCACAAACGCTGATTTTTTAATCCCTTTTTCCTTTGCAACCGAATGTAGTTAACCTTAAATATTTCATACTATAAATTCTGTTAGATCCAAAGTGTAAGTTGGAAATATCAAAGGTTTACACCATCAGCTTTTCAAGATATAGGGATGAGAAAACTTGAGTTTGTGACAAAAACTTAATTCCTTTAGTAAAATGTATGACTTGTAATCAAATTTTAATTCAACAATTAATTGTTTTGAACAATTTTGCCTTGATGCTTGAAAGCTACCCTATCATGTTGCCTTGATGCTTGAAAGCTACCCTATCATGTTGCCTTGATGCTTGAAAGCTACCCTATCATGTTACTTGGCTTATCTGATTCTATAAAATGTCCCCCGTAAGCTTTTATAGACTGGGTCGGCAGGAAAATGCTTTTAAAGATCCAAACAAGGTTTTATGTTTCCCTAACAACTTGATAAGAAGTGGTCATGAAAAAGTGTGTCAAGGGGGGGGATTAAACCCCCCCTCTCTATAATTTATGCAAAGAGAAGTGACCAATAGACAATTTAAACACAAGGAAATGTCAGACAACATGCTTTTCTAAAGAGGGTGCCCCCTCCCCTCCCCCTCCCAACCACTGAATGGTAAAGGGGGACTGCCCCCTTTTCCGCTATTCACCCCTGTCGTGAATGAATACATACAAGAACCAAGTTTCGTAATATTTAGCACTAAAACTGTAAAACACTTTAAAAAAATGGCGTCACTTCAGGATGTTTACTTTAGCCCACACTATAGGAATAGAAATAACAAAACTCCAATGACCACTTTCCCACCCAGGGGGGGGGGAGGTTTTAAACTCATCTGATAAAAGGGGGTTGGGGCGGAAGTTGGGCGGGGTTGAACAAATGAATGGTTTTGAGATTTCATGATTCGGGGTTATCTAAAAGATCTTTGTTTGACGAGTGCGCGTGGCCTATCTGTATCTTCATTTGTTCTCCCCCCGTCCTTATATCCTTCCATCATCTCTTTATCTTTCTATCTTCATTGTTTTTCATTATCTTACATCTATTTTTCATTCATCCTTCCCCATCCCTGATCTATCTATCTATCTATCTATGTATCTATCTATCTATCTATCTATCTATCTATCTATATATCTATAAATGAGCATGATAGGAAATGTTGTCAAAAACGTGTGATACAGCTATAAATAAAGTTATTATTACCATAGAGAATAGATTATTACCCTTGTTAGAAAAAAGATAACATTATTATTTTGGCTCGCAGTCTTAAGTAATTTAATAAAAAAAAATTTAAGAAAGCAGACATAAAAATATAAAGGTAATCTTAATTTCATTTTCATATATATCGAAATATAAATCGAAATATATAAAAATATTTTGGAAATATTATGGAGAAACCCCGAAACCAATCAAAACTTTTAAAAACACGTTATAATGTACAGCTGATTTAACTTTATAGCACGTTCAAAATAAAATTCACCGTGAAGTGAGTAAGTAAGAATGATAAAGTACACAATAGTTTTATAAAAAAAACATTTTCTATAAATGATGATCTAGTTCCAGAAATTATATGATGTTTGTCACGTTGGGGTCTTGTGTACGCGTAAATACGTTTATCATTCATGTGTAATATGTAATACTTGTAGAAATTTTTTTTTCAATTTTCAATTTTTGGTTTGGTCCATCACCATCACCAAATTATCTATCTATCTGTCTGTCTGTCTATCTATCTATTTATCTATCTATCTCTCTATCTATCTATCTATCTATCTATCTATCTATCTATCTATCTGTACCTTTATGAGCATCTTGATCTCCATGTTGTCCTTGGCGTCCCTGTCGTTGGTGTTGTTGGTGCCGAGGGGGTAGTTCCTCTTGGTGGTGTTGCTCACCTTAATACTGGTGATCTCCGATCCTTGAAATATATCCTAAAATAAAAATATAAATTACTATATTTAAGTGATTCAAAAGATATGAAAGGGGTCTAAAGTGAACCAGGGCCATGAATTAATTCACCGTGAATTAAACATTATTGAACCAGATTTTATGAAAAGTGAGATATAGTTGAACCGCGTCGACTGAGTTGAACCACTATTGTTTTCAATAAGATTCAACTCAGTTTGTCGATATTTTGGCAATATTTCGACGACAGCCGAAAGTTTGTAATGTGTTTACATCGTTGAAAAGTTGGCTGATGTGTAACATCACTTCTTAATCCTATATATATAACTAGTTGGAGAAGTTGAGAACCCAGCGTTGCCCAGGGTACTTCGTACTCAAAGTTATTCCCGCTGTTTATTCCCGCCGTTTATTCCCGCCATTTATTCCCGCCGTTTATTCCCGCTGTTTAGTCGTGATTGGTCGTATTTTTCCCTATAAAACCAAGCTAAGAACATTTCCGTGGTTCTCCTGAGTTCACCAACTAAATTTTGAGGCAAATCGGTCCAGGGGTTCATGAGTTATGATCGGACATACAAACAAACAGAGATTACAACTTTGTTTATGTAGATTTGCGATAACAATGATAATAATAACACCTAATTAAAAGTTATATTTATAATCAAATTCTAATATTTCTGTAATTAAACCCTTCAGCATCAATTTAAAATAAGTTTATATTAATGTTCCATCATTGTTCATTACTATATTTATAATGTATATGTTTAGAGCAGAAATTAACCTTCAGATTGGAAAAGAGGGGGGGGGGGTTACTTAGCAATCCTAAGATTAAAGGGATAAGGATGGGGGGAGGAGATATTTATAGAGAGAGGGGGGGGTGTATATGTACATGTACAAACTTAAGATAAAAGGAATTTTAATTATGAATATACAGCTTAAACTAACCTTGAATAAATATAGGCATTTGTGCCTTTAAGCCTATTTAAGAAAGATTTGTAAATTATGCTAAGGGTCTCTGTAAGGTCGAATCGAATTGAAATGTACACTTGATATAGCTTTGATAAGCGCAATAGGGGCAGGTTTTTAGGACAGACATTTACAAGGTCAGTTTTAAAATCCCAGCTAGAACATTTCAAATTAGATTTGCTATGATAGGTGTTTGGGGTTTAAAAGGCTCTAGGGGTTTGAAAGGGGGTTTAGAAATATACTTGGGGATTTTGGAGTTTTAGGAGGTTTGGGGGTCAAATTAGGTTTAAGGGGTTGATCTGGTTTTGAAGGTTAAGAAGGTTGACCTGAACGTTTTGAGAATACAACTAAGACTATTTTTTCAAAATTTTCTTCAATCTAAAGGGGTTTTGGGGTTTAAAAGATTTATAAAGTTTTAAAAGAAGTTAAAGAATTTTCTCCTTTTCCTTAAAAGTTTCTGACAATGTACGTTGATTGAATCTAAAGTTTTGTTTCTACTTTTACAACTAAATTATGTTAAAAAAGGAATTTATGAGAAGACATATTTAAAGTTTGGTAAAAGAGTTCATTCTTGACAATATTTAATCTAAAAGTAACTGAGTACTCTACCCATACTCTAGATAATTAGAGTTTGAGGAGAGTATTCAGTTCCTATATTCTAAATTTTAAAGAGACTATCCACGTACTTACAAGTGAACTGCATTTTAAAACATCCATTTCCCGTTCCCAACTCTACCCTTTTAACCTTCAATTCAAGGTTGAGAACTTGAGAAAGATATTGCCGTTTTTAAGAAAGTGTTTCCTGAACAGTCCCTTTAAACTAAAATGGCTTCCTACTAACCTTGATCTTGTTCTCGAAACTGGTGTCTACGGCCTGCTGAACCAACCTCGGGTTGAACCTCACTATCCTCGTCTCCTGGCTCTCAGAGGTGGTGAACACCTCGATCTGGTACATCTGGGACTCTAGGATAATAATTTTTAAAAATATAATGATAATAATCATAATAATAATAATTATAATANGGAATTGAGTTTTTGCCACAAACTCTGATTTTCTAATTTCAATATCGTTGCAACCCAATATTGTAGACCTTTAATATTTCAAACTATGAATTCTGTTAGATCAAATAATGTAAGTTTGAAATATCAAAGGTTTACATTATAAGATTGCAAAGATATAGGTTTTATAAAAACTGAATTCGTGGCAAAGACTCAATTCCTTTGAGTTATTAAAAGTGTAGGTAGGTTAATAAGAGTTAATCATCAACTAAATAAATGCGCAAAATAGAGGTGCATGAATTTAAGTGAATAAGTTTAAAGGCAAGTATATAGATGCTACAATACAATGCTTTGATAAAGTAATTATTTTGTGTGTAAGTCAATACATTTCTTATTGAGTGTCTCACTGAGTTAATAAATAGATATAAAAGTTAGTGAAAGAATAGAAAGATAGTGAGTTAAAAAGTGAGTGAGTGGTTGAGTCAGTAAGAGTATAAGTGTGTGAATGAGTAAGTTATTGAGTGAGGTAGAAATCTAAGTAATAGTTGTAAGTTTAGAGAGGAAATTGTTTAGCGTCTCAACCCATACTTTCACTTTCTAACATTCTCAATCAATTTGGAATTTTTTGTTAAACAAACAAGCTTCCCCCCCCCTTNGGCAAGGTTTATTAATGAAATAGTAAATTTATATTATTATAATTAACACTCTCAATATATCTATACTAAAGAAACATTTCATTTTAGTGAACCAAGGCAAGGTTTATTAATGAAATAGTAAATTTTTATTATTAATGAAAACTCTCAATATATATATGCTATAGATACATTTCATTTTAGTGAACTAAGGCAAGGTTTATTAATGAAATAGTAAATTAATAGTTAAATAGTTAATTACGCTGACATTTTAGTAAACTAAGGCAAGGTTTATTAATGAAATAGTAAATTTATATCATTAATGAAAACTCTCAATATATATATACTATAGATACATTTCATTTTAGTGAACTAAGGCAAGGTTTATTAATGAAATAGTAAAAATTATATTATTAATGAACACTCTCAATATATCTACTATAGATACATTCTCAATATATATACAATAGATAGTGTGATACACAAAAGATATTAAATTAATCATTTGAATACACTTAAAGAATATAAATCTAAACCCTTGAAATTAAATCTTTAATGGACTATAGAGTGTAGACCTGCTCCCATTATAGAGTGGCATGTTCTATTCCCGACAGTACCTTTAGACCTTTTATCTGATCAACATTAATGAAGATAGTCGATGTTCTAGATTGAAAAGTGTTTAATTCTGACAATTGTTCTCTTGTTCTCTGTTGAATAAACACTTGTTATAGTGAAATCTAATTGAATCTGGTTGTTTTCAGGTAAAAATATGGATATTGCATTCATCTTTGATCATGTTCAAAGGGTACGTTGTGAATTGGACATGCCACTCTATCAAGGGTCTCCTGAAATTACGTATACAGACCAGTTCCTTAAAACAAAAGAAATGATAACCAAATCATTTAAATATAAAAACAGCAATCAGGGGCCGGGGGGTATTGGATATCTTGACATGTCTCATNNNCCCTATCTAGTTCTAAATATTTCGGGGGGTCAGGGGCATGAAATTTAGAATTACTTTTTACAAAATATATATAGGTCCACTAACATTCTTTTTAATCCCCTAGTTTTCCTAAGTTTGGAAGTTTTCAGAAAAATATATAAACCCCTGGGCACTGAACCGGAAACAACCTATATATCCGTCTTACTTCCCATACCATTGAAATCCAACAAGTTTAATTTAGCCCGAGGGGAAATCCAATAGGTTAGATCCAGTCCTACAGCCCGTAATTGTCTATTCAGATAGCCAGCCATTATATTGGTCACTTGGTCATTCTATATTTGTAATATGTGCATTTACAGCCCTGATAATTAAGCCCTGGGGTGGGGGAGGTGGGGCTTAATTGTGTATTATTAGCTGATTTATATTCAATATTTTTCCTTTTATGCTTTTATATTACAATGTGTCTTACATATAAACTTCATGATTATTCATGATTTCAAATAAAAAACATCAAAGTTATACATTTCGGAGTTATTTTCAGATTTCCTCCAACACTTCAAGGTTACAATGCAAGAAAAGTTATTTTGGAGGTGTACGCATCTTTTGTACTGTCTCTGGGCGATAATGTAAACACAAAACGGATGTCGAAGCCTGACATGGGATCCATCTTTCACATAAAAAATCAATGAAATATTCTGGTCATANCCTGAAACCTCTTGATCTGGCAAACAAATGTCCTTGGTTTTTCTTAATCTGGATCTTGGCCCATGGTGTTCAAAAGTATATAGGTCAACCAAATTTTAATTTCAAAATTTAAAAGTGTCTAACCTCAGAGCTGTTCATCAAAATTATTATTTCTTAATTTATAATTTTTGACGTTTAGAGCGGATTAAATCTGCAGAAAATGGAGATCATTGCTTGATTTGATTCACCATACAAAAGTTCTGGCTTATTCTCCTGACCTGACCTGACCTGACCCTCAGACCTGAATATTTCGGACCACCGTCCCTATTCAGTTCTAAATATTTTGGTCCCCCTTTTCAGTACTAAATCTTTCGGACCACCCTATTTAGTTCTAAATATTTTTTACTGCCCTATTCAGTTCTAAATATTTCGGACCACCCTATCCAGTTCTAAATATTTTGGACCACCCTATCTAGTTCTAAATATTTCTAACCAACCTATCCAGTTCTAATATATTGACCACCTTATCAAGTTCTAAATATTTCGGACCACCCTATCTAGTTCTAAATATTTCGGACCACCCTACATCCAGTTCAATTTGTTAAATTCCTTCTTGCACCCCTCATGACCATTGACTATGTCAGATCTAAAGGTATCTGGGTAAGTTAGGGACACAATAAAAATATCAAATAAAGGCCGACTGCAGGCAACAATCCAATCAGGCAGTGAGGCAGAATCTAGGCCAAAAATTTCATAAACACATTATGGATTGGGAAGCATTGTAAATTTATCATTTTTATAAAATGTCGGTGCGTGTTCATTTAATCCTATGATAATAAATCCATTTTTTAGATTTTGAAAATGGATTGAGATAAATGTGGGCGTTCACAGTATATAAATCAAGAAGCCAGGGCTGGGGTAACGCCCTTAAATGTCAGTAAACGTATTGAGGAAGCTTGAAAAATTCCTCCGTTGGTTGAAACAATGGACTGGAATTTTTAGATCATTTTGAATCAATCCATTTCAGTTTTAAAGAGAAAATAGTATTAAATGGTTTAATCTAAAATTAAGAAAGACAATTCTTAAATTAAGAAATCGTTAAAAATCATCTTTTTGAAAAGAAAAACCGGGAAATAATTAACAAGTAATTATTTCACAGGCGTAGAAATCCTTCAAAAAAAGTTTAATAATAAGAAATGTTTCTAAAATAAAATTACACGCGAAATTTATAATAATTTTAATAAATCTTTAACAAAAAAAGTAAGATTTATAGTTGCATATCATATTTTAAAAGACCCTGATAAAAATGTATTATGCAAACAAAAATGACTGTTAGTCTAAAGCCTACTGTCATTATGCATGGTTCATGCAGATTAAAGGTTTAAGCTTTGAATATATCATGTTTGATTTTTAAAACAAGAATGCAATGCCACCAAACGATAACTAAGTAATTATTTGACTATAGATACACGTAAAACTAACTACAACGATTAAAATCTGTCCTATATGCTTAGATATTTAAAACACATAGCCCAACAAAAAAGTATTAAAAAGCAAATTCGAGAAATCTGAATTAATATCTATGAAAAATTTTGTAAAATTTAAACTCACTGGACTTTTAACCAGGACATCTAGCTTACCGTGGATAATATTATAACTGATAAGCTTAGTTTAACCAGGGCATCTAGCTTACCGTGGATAATATTATAACTGATAAGCTTAGTTTAACCAGGACATCTAGCTTACCGTGGATAATATTTTAACTGATAAGCTTAGTTTGACCAGGACATCTAGTTTACCGTGGATAATATTATAACTGATAAGCTTAGTTTAACCAGGACATCCAGCTTACCGTGGATAATATTATAACTGATAAGCTTAGTTTAACCAGGACCTCTAGCTTACCGTGGATAACATTATAACTGATAAGCTTAGTTAAAGTATCTTAATATCTACCTTAATCAGCATAAACCTCATCAACAAAAACAAAACGTTAATCTTGCACAATATCAAATATAAACCTAAACCTAAACCTAAACCTTAAAGTAAACCTAAACCTAAACCTTAAACTAAATCTAAACCTAAATCTAAATCTAAACCTAAACTTAAATCTTAACCTAAACCTAACTTTAACCAAAATCTAAACCTAAGCCTAAACCTAAACCAAAACCTTAAACTAAACCTAAACCTAAATATAAACCTAAACCTAAACCTTAACATAAACCTAACTTAAACCTAAATCTAAACCTAAGCCTAAACCTAAACCTGAACCTAAACCTAACTTAAACCTAAACCTAAGCATAAACCAAAACCTTAACCTAAACCTAAACTTAAACATAAACCTAAACCTTAACCTAAACCTACACCTAAACCTAGCTCTTAACCTAAACCTACACCTAAACCTAAACCTAAACCTTAACCTATACCTTTTCACCAAACATTATAAAAAAATCCCGAATGAATGTGCATAATCTTTTTTAATCTTTGAAGACTAACCACCCACCATGCCTCCTACCCTTCGTCCCCCCATTCTCCCCAACCGGCCCCTTCAGTTTTAAAACCAGTATCTGAAGAGTAAGCTCCAGGGATAAAGATGTACTTCAGTTTTTTATGAAAATCATTTTGAACTTTAAACATAGAGATCATAGGTTTATTAGAATAACAGATGGGACCCTAAATGTCGTCTTTTCAAGATTTCGATGAAATTCGTTCACAATAGCCCTTCACGCAGTCGGCATAGAACAGACTCTCTCTGTCTTGTAGTCATTGAAATTTTGAAAAGACGACATTTAGTGTTCTATCAGTTATTTCAATTAATCTATGGTAGAGATAGACAGATAAACCTTTATGATTTGTTTAAGTTTTCATCTATTAATTGCCCAAGATTAAAACTTAAAGAAGTAGACATAGACTGATCATTAGGATTTACTCCGGTTTCTCTCTCGATTTAAACTTTAAGAGCAAATGAACAGATAAATCTTTAATTAGGACTTTTTCAAGTTTCGTTCTTAATTGTTCAACATTTAAACTTAATGAGGTAGAAACACCTTTAGAATTTGTTTATTTTTTATTTTAATTCTTTAAAATAGAATCAGTTATAAATCTTTTACTCAGGGCGCTACCCTAATCTAATAATAAATCACTAAAGATGAAGAACTATATATATATCTGGACATCATTTATAAAGGTTTAAAGGGAAACATTCCAAAACAGACATAATGGAACCTGTATGCTATCATAAAGAGTTTTAAGTTAAAATTTTCCGATTCAAACTTAGCTCCGGATTTACCAATCCAAAAAAAGCTAATTTAGAAAAATTTCAAACTTGCACTTTAAATTCCAAAAACTTAAAAGGTTAAAAGCCCCGGCAGCATTAAACGCGGTCAGGAAACATAGAATCAACATTTATAGGCAAATAAAGATATGCACCAACATTTCTTTAAAGGGTACATGGCCCAGTACATACAGTTTGGAAATTGTTTTAAAAAGACATATGTACCTTATCAGACGGGAAGTTGTTTTTAAGAGAAAATTACCAAAAACAGTTTTTTTAAACACCTTCCCATAAACGTTTGGAAATTGTCTGAAAACTCTGTCTGGAACTGTATTGATAATGTACTCTGTATATTATTGCAGGTGCTAGTTATTAGCCCAGGGCGTTGAAATCTAAAACTTTCCCATTCTTTCATTCTTAAATTCGTCAACTGGTAAAAATCATTAAATCATAATTGAATTTAAATAAGTCAAGTTCTGTGTGAGCCAAAAATATTAAGTTTTGCCACAAACTACGTATGGTTTGTAATCTTTGCAACCCAAAATCGTAGACATTTCAAACTATGAATACGGTTAGATCAGATAATCTAAGTTTGAAATATCAAAGGCTTTCACCTTCTTGTTGAAAAAATTTAGAGATTAGAACATTTGAGTTTGTTGCAAAGACCAATTGTATTATGATCTAAAAAAACCTATCTCCGCGAATTTAATGAATTTGAGCCGCGTTTCAAATCCGCCAAAAGCCGGTTCCAATTGAGCGCCGGCTTAAATCTTGAAAAAATTGATACAATTTTAAGTGAAACCAACCATATTTGAGCCACGGTTTGAATTTAAGCGGCGGCTCAAATTCTTTACATTCGGTCTCAGGTGTTCGTGACAACCACTATAAATATTTGTCCATTTTCAAGAAGATAAAAACCATGATAACCAAAAAAAAAAGGATCTCACATATGCAATGTCCATATTTGTACCAGAGCAAACTAAAATACGTAAAGTACGTTTTGCCTTACATTGTCTGCATATGTGTAGTGTACAGCTTGCCTCTAGCTGCTGAAAAGTGGGCCCGGTACTTTAAATGAACTGGAGTTAACAGTGAAATCTCATATGTTAAAAAAAATAACTTATTAAAAAACTAGAAGACAAAAATCATTCCACTGTTTTCTTTAAATCAAAATCAAAATATTGTTTGTGCTTTTTTTTCGGTACACCTTTAAATTCCGGATGATGATGTGAATACGATAGATCATAGATGAAATCCATATAAAGGCTTGCTAGGTCTAGATATGGCTTGATATGATTGACATGAGTAGGTGGTAACTTAGAGCTCATCTAAGTGTTCTGGGTAGCTGGCTGGGTGAGCTAAGTGAGCTGAGAATGAGACAAGTGAGCTAGTTTTATCCATTTTACTTTCATCATAAAAATTCAAGTTCAGCTAAAGCCTAAAACTGTGGTCAGGTCGACAAAAAGTTAAAAATAATAATAATAATAATAATATTAGTAATAATACCCCCCCCGACACCCCATAAATTTTTAGTACTCACTTTCACAGGTTGCGTCGGGTAGATTCGACCTTCTACCGAAGCCGGGTCGGCACTTACACTCTATACCCGTATCCTCACTGCAATACCGCCAATTTCGTAACATATACGCAAACTCAGGCGCTAAGCTGACGCAAATTTATACGCACGATGGTTCCCCCATTATTGTGAGGAAGCGGCAAGGACATGTGAACTATTGTTTTCATATTTAATGAGTTAAAAATTAAATTTAGAATTTAAATTTTAGATTTTTTGCTATTTTCCGATTTAGAAACTTTCTTTTGTTCTTTTCTTAGCTTTTATTCAAATAAGATAACGTTTTAAAGCAGAACAATGCAGATAATTTTAATTTTATGTGCGGTAAATATGTTTTAAAATAATTTAGAAATGTACTGGAAATTTGTCTAAAATGTTTTTTTTTCGACAACCTCTAGAGTAGAGAGTGTGAAATAATGAATATTCAATAATATTTATGCATTCAATGAAAGTTTGAAACTTTGATAGATAGATATAGATAGAAACATCGATAGATAGATAGATCTACTGACAATGAAGTCAAAATGTTGAACTTTCGCTGTCAAATTAATTAAAAAATTTGGCATTTCAAAATATTCGACTTGTATCAAGTTTTGGTGAAAGTTGTGCAGAGTGGCAGCAAGGAATTAATTATTTACGCTTAATTTTACGCAGGTTAGACATGCGTAGTTACACCAGTTTTTGATTAAATAAATACAGTTAAAAAGGCGTTTAGATTCATGATGATTGGACGCAAAAATGACGTAACTAAATGGGATTATATAGACTTAAACATTTTAATCTTCTATATATATATAAAGTTGTAATCTCTGTTTGGGTGTCTGTTTGTCTGATCATTACTCTGAAACCCCTGGACCGATTTTCCCCAATTTGAATGGGGGCCTCGGGAGACCCACGGGAATGTTCATAGCTTGGTTTTTAGATTCAAATTTGAGTGGGTCGACTTTTATAGCGAAAAGTTTGTTTCCCGGTAGAGATCGTATTAGTGCGGGTAAACGCCGGGAGTAACTATGAGTAACCTGGGCAGCGCTGGGTTCCCAAGCTAGTAATAAATAAAGTAGTAATCTTTGTTTGTATGTCCTATCATAATTCATGAACTCTTTAACCGATTTGCCTCAAATTTTGATTGAGGAACTCGGTAGAACCATGGGAATTTGATCAGCTTGGTTTTAAAAATTTAAGTTGAGTAGGTTGGAGTTTATAGCAAAATTAGTTTCCAGTACGTCAAATCTAGGTTACCAAGCTAGTATAATATCTTTGTTTCTGTTTAAAAAATGCGAGACGGTAATTGGATGGGGCCCTAATTATATCCCCCCCCCCCTCGCCCGTTCCCCGGGAATAGAAATTTCTGTCTAATTGTGATATTTGTGTAAAATAACTCGGATTTTACTTGAAAATGTGGCGCTGTTATATCAACGCCCAAGGCGGAGAAAACATTACTCGGCGACCATTACAAGGAGCTCAAGGAATAAATGAATAGTGAATAATTGATTTGAAACTGAAAATATTCTTCAGTAACTGCAGTAAGACAGGCAGACAGACAGACAGATTGTCGTCTTTCTTTTATCTTTTGATCATGAAGTTGAGCCCAGAATGTTGTATCTTATTTGTATTTGTTTCTGAAAATACAATTCATGGGAACATTTCATAATAAAAAAACTAGAAGAATACGTCAATCATTCCACTGTTTATTACTGCAGTATGCAGAAAAAAACTTTGTTTAAAGATATCAAATATCAATAAATATTAATAATTTTGTGAAATGGTAAAAATTATATATTCTGGACTGGTAGGGAAGGGGCCGTTACCCTTTTTTTAACTTCTCAAAGGAGTTGAGTCTTTGCCACAAACTCAAATATTCAAACCCCTATATTTTTGGAACCTGATGTTGTAGACATTTGATATTTCAAGCTCAGAATATTTGATCTATCAGAATTCAAAGTTTGAAATATCTAGGGTCTACAACATTTGGTTCCAAAGATATAGGGATTAGAAAACAAGAGTTGTGGCAAAGAAGTATTTCTTATATGTCAATAAATCATTTTACTTTTCCATGTTTTGTTTTTAGAGATTTCATGTCTATAGTTCCCCCTATATATACTGTTCATTTTCCCTTACAATTGTATGAACTGAGAGAGAAATCAGATCTACCACGAGTTTTATTTAAAGTACAGTGCCAAGTTCATAATTGATAATAACTTTCAAAGATAGGGCCATTCCTATCAAAAATTGTAACATTTTCGTTCCATCTTTTTTCTAAACATCTTAACATTATTCTGGATTATTCTATTTCCTTGAGAATCGAAAATGATCTAAATTAAAATAATAAGTCCCCCTTGATGTCTTAATTTAATTCAATTCATGAATTTGATTTAAATTGGCTTAGCTGCTAAATACACAGAACATTTCCCCCCCCCCCCTTATGTTCAATAATTCTGTATAATTGAATTAAAATTAATAATTTCATTCAGATAATTTACTTTAATCCAATTTATATCATTACAAAGAGAAAGAGTAAATATTCTTTTTTAAAAAGAATGAAATCTTTGTAATCCACCAATATTGTTAAACAACGCGCGGGAAAATATGTTACAAAATTGGTTCCTTATGTGACAAACTTCATTCTCTCCACAGCTTTTCTGGCATTTCGTTGTCGGGTCAGATTCATCAGCAGATAGAGCATTTCCAGGGATCTAGGGGACATTTTTAGGTCAAGGATAAGAATAGCAACAATATCAATGGCTAGAGAAGAAAATTAACACAATAACAACAACAATAACAACAATAATAACAACAACAATAACAACAATAATACCAACAATAATAACAACAATAATAACAACAATAATAACAACAACAATAACAACAACAATAACAACAACAATAACAACAACAATAACAACAACAATAACAACAACAATAACAACAATAATAACAACTTGAACCGTGATATAACAACAACAACATATCAACGACTGCAACAAAGCAAAAGAAACGGAAGTAAAATATTGAAAACGGAAACAATCAAGATTAAACCATGAATCTGATATTGTCATTGAGACATTTTATCTGTCAAATACAAACACCCTAACAGACAAAAAGACCGACCAGCATTAAATAAAGAATACTTGGAACAAAGATTGAAGTTTTGAATCTATATCCTTTATATCCGATTTTACTCCCCAAATTCATTTCCTATACGAGGAAATATTTCAAGACCGGAAACGGGTTGAAAGTAGCCCCCCCCCCCATTCCATGCATACTGCATACCTAGCTTTATAACCATGCATTGTGAAAACGAAAGTTTCCATTTTTCGCCTGGTCTGATGAAAGGAAAGGAAATGTTATGCGTATGTCCGGGGGCTAGCATTCTCACCATTGTTTTGAAATATTTAAAACAAACCTGACGGAAGTAAATGGAGCATGTAAAGGTGAGGCCGGGGGGGGGGGAGGGGGGTATTGCCCTTCTTGTATTCGTATACTCTGTCTCGGTGAGGAAATAGCTTTGACAATTTCCGTCTTTCTTAATTCTTAATTTCTTGTTTTGTATTCAAATCCCTTTATCTTTTTTCTTTATTTGCTTCAAAATTTTTTCCTTTTTTTTCTTCTTTTGCTTGAATTTTGTAAAATCCCCCCGCCCCCTTTTCAAATTTATAATTTCTTTTATAATTTTATTTTTAACTTTATCGTCGGTCTTTTTTCATCTCCCCTATTCTTTGCAAACAATTTTTTTCCACAACATATTTTTTTTTCGTTTTCTTTTTTTCTCCATGTTTTCAGCTACTCCTCTAACTCTCTACTCTGAACCCAAACTAAGCAATTATTTTGAGAGTTGTTTAAGAATAAATCTGTCTGTGTTGTTTGACTTGAAACCTGACTGGGCGGATACACAATATCTTAAACCTACCTAGATATCTAGTCATCCAGAAATACAAGTACAACAAAAACTTCAACAAAGACAAGAACGACAAGATCGACAGGAATGACAAAAAGTTCTAGAACGATAAGAACAACAAGAACACGTTAAAATAAGAACAACAAGAACACTTGAATAATAAGAACAAGAACATATTGAGAACAAAAAGAACAACAAGAACAAAATTAAATCTACAACGAGGACTACAAGAATAACAAAAACAAGAAAAATATTAAGAACAAGAAGAACACGTAAACAGCAAGGACAAAAAAGGTAACTGTAAACTGAACATTGCATAACCAACAATCAAATGCATTTATACTGTTACCTGCATTATAAAACCTGTACTCTTTTGTCAGGGAGGATTAAATATACCTGTACTCTGTAGTCATGGAGGATTAAATAAACCTGTACTCTTTTGCCAGGGAGGATTAAATATACCTGTACTCTGTAGTCAGGGAGGATCAAATATACCTGTACTCTGTAGTCAGGGAGGATTGAAGGAAGGAAAATAAACAAGAAAACAATTAAAATATGTTTCAATGATTAAAAATTATTTAAAATGACTCTCTTTCTAAAAATCCTCTTTGGCGTACTTTTAACTCCTATAAATAAGATATAAATCTAACCTGTTCTACTATTGCTGCCTCCAAGTTGTTATTCAATACTTCGTTCTAATCCAAGCAACAAATATCATAATAAGGTCATTGACAGAAGTAATGGCATAATAACCCCCCCCCACTCTCCCCTCCCTTTTCCTAACTGTGAGAAGTAGTATTTATGTACACCCTCGGGTGCTTAATGCTTATTACTGTTAATCTCAAAGGCCATGCTTTAATGTCACCAAAAATAATTAAATGCCAAGGGTATAATTTAAACATAACAAGACATGATCTGAATGTAGAGACTTAAACGCGTGGGAGTGGGTAGTGTAACTCATGTATTGTGTATCTAAAGCATTGCCTGCTATAGCTAAATTACATGACAAAACACCGTTCCAACTCACACTGGGTCGTTATTATCTCATTTAAAATGGCTTCTTCCTAGCATGGATGTTGGTTTTTACAAGAACCTAATTCTAAAATGTTCCCCCCAAAAAGTGTCAGGTTTGATCATCATATTTGATATTTGTAGTTTCCTGTGATATCTCTTCATCCTTCTTATTCTCAAGGAGTCTAGTCCTATCTTCACTCCTGCCACTCTCCCCATCCGGTTTTCTGATCTTGACATCAGGGTTCCGGATCAAACCATCCGGGAGAGCAACTTCATTTAAATTTTGAACTGAACCCCTGCCCTCATTCTTTTTATCTTCTTTGTCTTTATAATCATTATTCTCACCATTGATTACATCTAGGTTTCCCTCAATGTCGGATTCCTGAACCCTTCTACTTCCAGTATCAGGGTTCCCCTCAGAATCTATTCCATCTTCTTTATTCTTATCCAATGACTCATCCTTGTTCCTGTAAGGATCTATATCCTTATTCTTATTAGAATCTCTATCTAAAGACAACCCATTTGCCAATCCTACATTGAAATATGTACTATTTCTAGCTCTGCCAACCTGAGCAGCCTCTTGCGTTGATTTCTGAGGCTGAATAATGTTTCCTGAAACCTCTTGATCTGGCAAGGTCACAATAGCAGGTGTAGTTTTACTGGGTGGTGTAACAAGAGACTCAAAAGCATTTGTGGAAGCAATGTTGCCAATGTTTATAAAGGTTGGTTCTCCTTTATTACTTACTGAAGAAGATCTTAAAATGGTTGCATCATATTTCCTCTTCTTGTTCTCCTTTCTACCCTGATCAATTAATTCAGTGAAGTATTTAGAGCCCTCCTTGTTTACATCAGAGTTTGCCCAGTCTATGGTTGGTGAAGAATTCTCAAAAGGCTCTTGAAAAGTTCCTGGTGAATCTTGATTGTTTGACAGTGACTGAGTGTCCAAATATGAGTCTTGGTTGGGTCTAACTGGTCTCGATGTTACCCTTTCAATAAACCCATTGTATCCATCAGATATGGTTTCAACTTTAACGATCTTCTGAACTGATTCAGTCGAAGCTTCATTTATCAGATCTGTAGGATAATTAGCAGGAGATGTAGGGTAATTATTTATCTTCTTGTATCCAACATACCCATCTGGAGTCACTTTGATAGCACTGTCAAGGCCTTCTGCTTCTTGATTCCAACTGGGTTTTGTTGGCTCAAAGTTGAACACTGTATTTGAACTAGAGGTTCCTGTGGTTTCCACATAATCAAAATTATCATAGACAGGGTAGTTTGCTTGGTATTCCTCATACGGGTCATAAACCTGACTATCCTTAGGTATGTTTGAAGTTGTTGACCTTGATGGGTTTCTGACATTTTCATTGTCAACAGAAGGATTTAAGGTTGAAGTTAAATATGTTTGTAGAGTAGGATTTGGTTCATTTAAATCTACTGATTCATTTGATAATAGATCAGGGCTTAGTTGCTGAAGTGGATTATCTGGTTGTTGTACAGGGTACCCAGACTGTTCTTGAAATTGTCCTTGATTTTGTGAAAGATACCCTGGTCCTGGTTGCTGTTGAAGATCTTGTTGGTGCTGTTGTAGTTCAGAGTACCCAGTTTGTTGTTGAGGTTGTTGGTCCTGTGGCAAAGTATATTCTGGTCGTTGTTGGGGTGTAGTTGACTGTTGCTGAGTAAAACCAGACTGATCTTTAGAGTTTTGTGGGTATTTATCTTTTTTACCATACTGCTGCTGCCCTCTATTGTATGTTTTCTGTTGATCAAGCGGACGTCTGGGCTTTTCTCTTTCTTGGCTTCTGTAGTTGGGTGTTGTAGCTCTGGGTGTTGTATTTTTGTTTATAGACTTTTGGGTTGATGATCTGAATCTGTTAGATGGAAATTCATCATCATATGGGCTGACAACCTCAATCCTTGCATCTCCTAGATCTGGTCTACGGGTTATCTGACTGTATTGCTTGGTAACTTGGGAAGGTTTTAGTGTGTTTGCAAACCATTCACTAGCATAAGTAACAGTTTTAGGAGCTTCCTTGTCTGTAACAGTCAGAGACAAAGATTTAGTAGGTCTGAGAACTGAAGTGTTTGGATTAGCATTCTTTTCAAAGGCTGTCCATTCCCTTTCAAAGTTAGAGTTAGGCGGAGGAGGATTTTGAGGCTCAAATGATGCTGTTGGTAAATCTAAAGGTGTTTGCCATTCATTAGAATAAGTAACAGTTTTTGGAGCTTCATGCTCCACAGCTGTAATGTCAAGTGTAGTTGTTGGTCGTAGTGGAGGAAGATTTTTCAGAGGGTCTCCATCTGTTAACCAACCCTCATAATCATAGTTGTTCTTAGATGAGCTGACACTTGTAAAGGTTGGATGGGATGCAGGATTGGAACCAAGAACAAGGCTAGATGAAACAGTAAAACTTGGTTCCAACTCACTGTATACATGCGTAGATTCTTCATAAGAATCTAGATTTACTATGTCAACTCCTGCCTTAGATGAATCTTCCTTACGTTTCTCACGCACATCTTGAATATTTGTATTCTCTGAGTGAGCAGTATTATGCCCAATATTGGTTTGAGATTTCTGATCTGTATTTCCATATCCTTGAACTTTTGCTGAGCCTTGTGTCTGGGTTGGCCTGTATTGGTTAGAGATAGGTTGGTTTGGAAGGAATCCTGCAACATAATTCTTCTCACTTGTCACAGGCTTCTGAAGTTCCTCATCTTTCCTATTTTTTGATATTTTTGATGATGTTCTTGGATCTAGATTGGCTGTAGAAGGGGGAATATTGGGAGAAGTGTCAGTCTCTTTATATTCATTTACTGGGGGTCTGGTGGAAGGGTTGTACGCATTAGTGTAGGATATAACTCCACCAGCATTAATCTCACTTTCAGCAAATTTATCCTTCTGGCCCAAGTTCTGTCTATTATTTGTATCATAGCTGATTCTTGTAGCAGGATTAATTCCTTGGTTAAATGGAGTAATAACATCCCTGTTTTCACTGACAGCAGTGCTGGAATCCTCATATTTCTGATTGGGATTAAACTGATAAGGATTTGAAGGATTATTGTTGTATTTCTTGGATGGAGAATTGGTAGGGCGATGAGAATATTGATTTATTGGAGCTGGTGGAGGTACATAAGTATTAGTAGATGGAGAAATGTTAGATGGCTGAGGTGGAGGAGAAGGCCTTGACTTAGGTGCTAAGGGTACATAGGATGTGAGAGGTGCATTGTTGGGTTGCAGGCCTTGTGCATTTGAATGAACATTGATATTACGATTATTCTGAGAAAGAATATTCAATTGGGAGTTAGTGTTAGGTCCAGGGTTCACAAGTCCACTGTACACATTATTATGGCGTGGGGGAGGATGGTTGGGTCGAGGAATTTGTTGCCATGGAGGAGGTGGTTTGCCCTGAGAGGGTGGAGGCCTTCCACTATGTTGAGGAGGATGACCTCCAAGTTTTTGGGAAGAAGTACCTCCAACCTTAGATGTAGGATGACCTCCACCCTTAGGGGGAGGATGACCTTCACTCTGAGAGGGAGGATGACCTCCGCTCTGAGGGGGAGGTTGACCTCCACCCTGAGGAGAAGGCAGTCTTGCATTCTGTGGAGGTCCATGGGATCTATGCTGATGAGGTTCTCCCTGAGGTCTCGGTGGAGGTGGTTTTTGTATTGTCGAGGGTTGATAGTTTGAACTAGGGTTTGTTTGGTATTGATATTGATTCACTTCTCGTCCTGGAACTATTTTTATCTTCAAAGAATCTTTTTGGTGTTTATTAGAGAGGTAGCTGTGCTCATATTTGTTGAGAACATCAATGTATTGAGGATTGTCTTCTTGAATTATGTGCTGAGGCGGATTTTGTCTCCTATAATTATCATCAGCTTCAATCTCTGAAGAAACGTCAAAACGAGGAAGGGCCTGTCCTGAATAGGGTTGAGCTCCATTCAATGGAATGAAATCATATCCTGTTTGACTAATATATCTTGAATTAACTGCTCCTCCCACTGGAATAAGATTAGGAGTTTCAGTGTTATGTACTCTGGCAATCTTAGGTATACTTAGTACTTTAGTTGGAGTCACGGTAGTTGATTCATCAGAGCTCCTATCATTGGCATAGGCTGTGTTTCTACGATTTGCAATTGCACTTCTAATTGGGCCCCTTAATAGGGTTGCAACAGCATCCAGAACTGGACCTAAGTCAACATTGGCTCCATTGTTGTTTTGTGGGGTGAAAGCACTTGAGATTCCACCAACAACAGCACCTAAAAGCCCATTTGTAAACACATTGGATTCCTCAGGGGCGTTGGTAGTAGGTTCTGTTGTTACTTCTTCTTCTGTTTCTACACTGATAACAGCAGAGGTAGAAGTTACATCATCAACATCTAGTGGTTTAGATGGTTTAACAGATTCAGATAATTCTACTGTTACTGGTGGTCTGGTTATAGGAGCAGAAGATACTGGTATAGATATATCAGTTTCTGGTAGATTGTCTAAAAGACTTTGCTCTGGTGATGAAGTTTGGAGAAGGAGCAGAGAGGAAGAGGATACAGATACCTGACTTGACAATCCATCTTCTGCTAATTGTGTTTGGGTAACATCTGAAACTGTCAGTGAGGGTTGTATGTCCCCACTGATCTGACCTTGCTCCAAGATAAAGGACTGTTTTATGCTTAGCAATGAGTCCTTGTCAAGTTGTAAGGAAGCTGTAGGAACTATTTCTTTACTTGGCATCGAGACAACTATAGAACTGGGAAGTTGTGAAGTGCTGAAGAACGATGTTGAAACTTGAGTAATTACCTCCAAACTCTGATCAGATAACCCTTGTGGGTTGGTTGTATAGTAAGTATAAGTAGCATAAAAAGTCTTGACCAAACCATAAATATTCGGTCCAACAGACAGATACTTCTCCTCCGGGTCCTGCTCAATCAAGGGAACTATTGTTGACTGTATAGGAGCTGGAATATAGTCAAACTGTCCTCCACTGTATGTATCTGTCACAATCCTTGAACGGATACTACTCCGGGTCTTAGTAATGGTAGAGGACTTTTCAATTAATGTGGTATAGTAGGTGGAGGTGGTAAAATAAGTTCTGGTGGCGAGTAACTTCAATCCATCTGTGTTCTCAGAGTTGAGGGAAGAAATCTGAAAAATAAATCCAATGTGAGATTAATTAAACTACCATCTATCACTAGCATCCTTTTATCATTAGACAATAACAGTTAGAAGAGAAAATTTCCAGAACATCATTTGATCAGGAAACACCCCCCCCCCCACCCCCTACTTAACGACCAACCTCCCTTCTCTGTAACTATTCTACCCTCTGTCAAACCCTTTCAACTTCAGCCTTATATTCTTCTCAATCTAACGCTGTGGTTTATTCTGATTTGAATTGTCATGCTGACTAATTTTTGCACCGACTCCCCCGGCCTTTATGCTCTAAATGTTACAAGTGTAGGATTGAACGAGCTGGTCATAAGAGTTGATACTCAAACATTGCAAGAAATGAATGAATCATGAAATTCTGGCATTTCGAAATGCAGTGCTTAATAAATGCCAAATTTCAATTAAAAAAGCTATTTTTTTCAGAGGTTAAAAAGGTCAAACTAAAGGTTAAGGAGGACCAGTTTAGAATAGTTTACTTTTGACAAGACAAATTCTGACCATATCATCTCAACAGGTCTGTATAACAAGAAATCATATTTCAAGGTAACTCCATATACAGGGGATACCAGGGATACACATATAAGAGGGATACAATGGTTACAGGAATACACATATACCAGGGATACAGGATATACCAGATATATCGGGATACTATGGATACCATGGATACCAAATACCAGGGATACCAGGGATACCAGGGATACCAGGTATACCAGGTATACCAGGAATACAAGAGATTGCCTGGCATGGTCCGGATTAATGTCGGATATACCTACAAAAGATCATGCCCCGTCATCTTATATTTTAATGGTTTCACGGAACATTCACAATTTACAATATTAATATATATTGTTTAGTATTTATTATTTAATTCAATATGTACATTTTAACTTGATTCTTGATTATATTTTTGAAATCTAGATTTTAAATTTAAACTTTAAATTTTGCAAATTAAATGTAAGGATATCGTCCAAACAATCTTAAACTAATTCAATGTGGAATTGTAAAAAGTTGGAATCAAATCAGTTTCGATTTTGAAATTAAATTCGGCAATATTATGTGATCAAAATTCATGTTTGATTTTTTTAAATGTAACAATTATGATCTTTAAAATCTTTAATTTAGTTGTTTCAGACATTAACAGTGGGATGCTGGAGGGGGGGGGGAGGGGGAGATAATGTAAAACAATTGAATGCAACTTTAAAACATAAAACATATTTCTTTTTCCAACTTTCTAACTTCCTGAAAGAAACTACATTCCGTCACGGTAAAATCATTAATCCGTACTATAATATTCTACAATTATAACAGTATTTTAGCAAAGAGTTCAACACCCTATAAAGTAATTTATGGTTCCCCCCCCCCCTGCCTTCCCAGCCCTTTGAACAAATTAAGGTATTCTTAACAACATTTTTATATTTGCGATACTTTTAATTGTCAGGGTAAATTGTTAAAAAGAATTAATTTTAGCTAATGATGTGTTGGTTACAGAAAGTATGATATCCCTATTGTACAAAGAAACCGTGTTAAAAATTAAAGAAAAAATTGCCAATTTAAATTTTGCCTCTAGGTTGAAAAACAATTTGCAAATGAAAATAAGAACAAAGAGAACCCATTAATTTAAATACATCGTGTTTTGGCAAACATGCAATGTTAATAGAATGTCATCTTTAAAGACAAAATATGCAAAATTAAATATGCAAAATTTTTATATCTTTAGAACTAATTAAGAACAAAATGAGAAATGTTCGAAACCAGAACTGAAAATGCAAGGATAAAAACCAGGATGAGGGAAGAGGGGAGGTATTGTAATTATAAATATATTCATGCTTCAAATATCCTACTGACTGTCCAAAAACGTTTACATAAAACAGATACAAACCCAAGTTATTTAAGCACGTCAACCCGTCAACTTGCTCAAAAGTACAGATTTCCTGTGTGCAGATTTAATCCCAGATTAGAGACTCAAACGCGGTAAACGCGCAGGGAATATATTTGCAATTATTTACTGCGCGCTCATGGTCATCTCCACAGCGTGTACGCACATTTTGGACATTCCTACTTCTACTTATGTACATTATACATGAAAACAACCCTCCCTACATAGCCTCACATATGTTTGAAATTATTGGCAGACATTTCAGGGAGTTCCGGCCCGACACGTTCTTTACCCATAGCTTAAAATTCCTCCCTTTTAGAATAATCCTCTAATCCTTCTCCTGATATTTGATAAAATACTATACCAAATAATCTAAATTAATGAATGTTTTGTAAAAATAGATAGAAAAGATCAAGAAAAGATTAGATATTTAATTTTTTAGAAAAATTGAATTATTGAATTTACTTTGAGAGTTCTCTTACAAGGAAGTGCGTCTCAAAATAACAAAATAATCCTTTTGACAATTTTAATGTTTGTTATTTGACTTATTATTTCTAGAAAATATTATTTCTAGAAAATATTATTTCTAGAAAATATTATTTCTAGAAAATATTATTTCTATGGAACCCGCCGCCGCAGAGAAAGCTTCATTCTTCTTGATTTAATTTAAAACATTCATAAAAGAACGAAAATCTTTTGTATCATCAACAAAGGAATAGAGTATTTGCCACAAACTCAAATTGTGTAATCTTTACATCCGTGCAACCTGATGGTGCAAATATGTGATATTGATATTTGATCTAACATATGTCAGAGTTTGAAATAGTTCAGGTCAATGGCAATAACAAAAATAAGGAAATTTGAAAATCAGAGTTTGTTGCAAAAACTCAATTATTTAAATCTATTAAAATACACTTAGCATTACGTAAATATGGAAATAATCATATTTGTTAAAAAAAATCATAAAATACCTGATCATTAAGGGTTAAGGCAGGGGTGGCCTGAACTGAGAGGGATGCATCTAGGGTTAAGGCGGGGGTGGGTTTGACGGATGGGTCCACCACCACTATGTTAGAGGAGATGACGGTGTCTGTGGAGGTGACGGTGGTTCCACTGGACAACGAGGTGATGAAGTACGTGAACGTAGAAAATTCAGTTTTTGTGATGCCTCCTGGTCCAGCCGTTGAACTCTGAAAACATAATATTTTAATCCATTTTAATGGATTTTTAAAAATTTTTAATCTTTAATTTCTCTCTCATATAAATCTGAAAACATCAGTTACAAAATCAAAGGAATGGAGTTTTTGCCTCAAAATTTATTAAAATACATATCTTTGCAACCTAATGCTGTAGACCTTTGACATTTTGAACAATTCATTCTTAACTGAAAACTTTAGAATGGGATATCCTTAATCCGGATTGGTTAATTGATTAATTAATCTGGAGATTAATAACAAGAGGAGGACAAGCATTGTTTAATCTCGAGATTAAGAAAAAACAGTGGATCAAGCAATAATCCCGATATCCACCTTACAAATGTTCCCAGCACTGTTTGATCAAATAGCGTAAGTTTGAAATATAAAAGGTTTACACCATCAGGTTGCGAAAATAAAGGGATTAGAAAATTTGAGTTTGTGACAAAAACTTCTTTTTGTTCGGTAGTATCGGTACAACTTTACGACCTCGTAACTCCTCAAGGGTAAATTTTAAACTCAAGGGTAAAAAATTGTTATGTTTAATTGCAAATAGTTCACCATTTTTCAGAAAAAGCACAAAAAGCAATATTTCAAAGATTTCCAACTTTAAAAAGAAAATTGATTTTATATTATTTTGGCTCCAAATTTAAAAAGTATATTTACTATATATTGTGCACTGTAAAATATAAACAAATAATACATAGATACATTATTACATATTGTGTATAGTATCAATTAATCCTAATATATTGAAGCTGGAATCCTATTTTCCAGTTCAGAAAGAAGAAAATTAGAAATTATTGTAACATGAATTGTTATGCAATTTTTACAGTTGGTGAAAATCTACAAAAATAAAAACATTCAAAATTCGAAAATGTTTTGTATATTCGTTAATCAGTCCTTTCAAATCAACCTCAATGTCAAGAGCATCAAAGAATTTTCCTCGTTCGAGATAATTGGCTTCAGGCAGGGGGAGGGGGGGGAGGAGAATTAATTTGACGAGAAGACAGAGGGGGGGGGGGGAGGAGAATTAATTTGACGAGAAGACAGAGCTGGGGAGGGAAGGAACAGAGAGTGGTCAGCATTTGCTGAATTCTACCTATTTTCAAATGAATGATTGAAGGGAAAAAACAAAATGGCCGAAGGCGGCCATATTGGTTCGGAATCGTTTTCCAATTTGATTGAACGATTGGATGGAACGATATAGAATTATAGATATCCTATGTATATTTATACACTATACAGATACTGTGTTTTAGGCTCCAAGGGCTGAAACACCGGGTCGCCTACTGAATAATTGTCTTAGTATTGAATAAAGCAAGAGATATTAAAACATCAGCATGTTCTTCTCAAGATTAAGATTTTAAAGGACCGAACTTAGTATATTTAAACCTCGGATTCAAAGTAAATAATTATAGAAGGATTTAAATCGGCGATTCAAATTTGAACCGGCGGTAGAGAGTTAAAATTAATTAAATTCGGTCGCTGTAAACAATTTACATAGATAGAACAACATCCTTTAATCATAAAATAAACAACACCCTGTAGCCATAAATAAACAACACCCTGTAGCCATAAATAAACAACACCCTATAGTAATAACATAAACAACACCCTATATAGGCATAAATAAACAACACCCTGTAATCATAACATAAACAACACCCTATATAGTCATAAATAAACAACACCCTGTAATCTTTAAAGGGACGAATATTGCTCCGGGATTATTAGGAAAGGACAAGGATTCGTAAATCTACTGAGTCAGGTCAAACTAAAGATAATTTCACGTAGGATTTAAATCATATTTGCGGTAGAACATAACTCCTCTTCTTGAAGGAAACAAAAATGTTTAAAATTTCTTATTTAACCGGATTAATTTCCACATACTCATGTGTGGAAACCAAAGCTAGAGGAGCTACGAGGTCACAAAGTCGTGCCAGTAATTTCGCATAATTTTGAAGTTCTCCTATTGCCTAGCTTAAGAGGTTTATAAATATATATCAGGATTTAAATCATTTTATGAGGATAGGAAAGGAACAAAATCATACAGATGAATTCAGCGAATAAAAACTTGAGTATAAAATCATGAGAATAACCTCACGTGGATAAAATAATGCGTATCAAATGAGATCATGAGGATAACCTAACGTGGATAAAATAATGCGTATCAAATGAAATCATGAGGATAACCTCACGTGGATAAAATAATGCGTATCAAATGAAATCATGAGGATAACCTCACGTGGATAAAATAATGCGTATCAAATGAAATCATGAACTCTTGTGGAGAAAACATGAGGCTAAAATAATGCGTATGAAATCATGAGGGAAAACTTCATAAACACATAGATAAGTTGCAAAATGATTAAACCAAGCATAGCAGATGGAAGAAATCTATCATATTGAATTTAAAATCAATAACATATGATAACGAAAATTAAATGAATATGAAGAGAATCAAGAAAATTAAGATCAAGGAAATTACCTTCGTTGGTTTGATTGCAAAACCATTTGATACAATACTAGGAGCCAGAGTCAGGGGATAATCTTCATTCCGACCAGCTTTCTCATCTAGTTTATTACTTTTTATTCATATTTTTCATTCTTAAAAATTTCAAAATACATTTAATTAATACACAATACAATGTGTGAATAAAATATATGAATCTTTTAATCGTAGAACTTGAGAGCAAGATGAATACCTTTATGTGAATCAATTTATTAATTTTAACAATGAAAAAGATGAAATATTCAATTCTTTCTAATAATTTAAAAAACAAAAAATGAAATATGAAAATGTCTGACCTGCAACAATTATCGGAACTCCTGAGACCAATTTTGTGCTGTAATATCCATCTAAAAAAAATCTTTATTACAATCATATTGCTTCAACGTTTGTTTCACTACAGACGTACTCCAAAGCTGGAACTTTGGATAATTTACAAATGTTGTAAAATTTACAAAGCTTGAACTATGGATAATTTACAAATGTTGTAAAATTTACAAAGCTGGAACTTTGGATAATTTACAAATGTTGTAAAATTTACAAAGCTTGAACTTTGGATAATTTACAAATGTTGTAAAATTTACAAAGCTGGAAATTTGGATATTTTACAAACGTTGTAAAATTTAAAAAGCTGGAACTTTGGATAATTTACAAATGTTGTAAAATTACAAAGCTGAAACTTTGGATAATCTACAAACGTTGTAAAATTTAAAAAGCTGGAACTTTGGATAATTTACAAATGTTGTAAATTTACAAAGCTTGAACTTTGGATAATTTACAAATGTTGTAAAATTTACAAAGCTGGAACTATGAAAAATTTACAAATGTTGTAGATAATTTTGAATTCGCTGATTTGTGAGTTAATAACAACATCACTGTGCAGTTTAAACTATTTTAACCCAGTGTTAGACATAAAAAACGATATTCAAACGTCAAACGTTGTAAAATCTAAAATTATTAAACTACATAAAGTTAATGCGCAATTTGTTCTGATAAAAGTCCTCTTCACTTTTTGTTCATGATAATCCAATTAGTAAAATATAATATTTTAATTCATAAAAACCTGATTAACTCGATTTATTTTAAAAATGAGGATCAGGATTCCTTTGAAAACACAAAAACGTCATCTCGTTTTTTTCTGTTTTTATAAAAATACATCTTTTTTACCAATTTTTTAAATAATCGTTTGGGTTTATTTTCAACCACGGTGCTTTGATTGCACTAAAAGACTCAAGTTTTTATTACCTATATCTTTGCAACATATTTGTGTTTACCGTTAATTTAAATAAACAGAATTTATAGTTTGAAATATCAAAGGCCCACGATATCGGGTTGCACAGATAAAGGGATAAGTAACTCAAAGTTTTTGGCAAGGACTTAATTTTTTTCACGATCAATGCCTTAAAGAAAAATGTCAGAATAGAAAGCTGGGAGTTTATTAAAAAAGTTTAAGTTAAATAGTATGCTAAATACTGTGAACTGTAGCTGGTTCCAGCGGTTGCTTTTACAACCGTTGCCTATACTTCCTAACTCTATATTATGTAGAATTATAAAGGAGCCAAATATATAAGAAAAAAATATATAGGAATCAACACAAAAAAAGATCTTTTAATCGTGATAATTTTTTAGAGAAACTAAAAAGATGAAATTGGGTTTTCTTCCTCATTTATGAAAAATAAAGAATTACCATGAAAAAGAAAAAGAATTGCGAGAAACAACTCCAAAATGAATTATAAAATATTAATAACACAAAACCCAGAAAATAGACATCTGCAGATACTAGACTCTAGTCGCGATATAGACATTAGACACATAGACTAGTCGCTACAGACACTGGACACTATAGACATTAGTCACTAGACACTAGACACTATAGACACTAGTCACTAGACACTAGACACTATAGACACTAGTCACTAAAAACTAGACACTCAAATTCTTTGCAAATATGAATTCAGGCCAAATTATGAACAGCCCATACATGAAATTGCCAATTTAAAGGCTTGCAAATTCATTTGATAGCAGAATTGACCCCGTTATATTGCATGGCATGACTTTATTATAGTTTAATTCGAACTAGCGTGTATTTATACGATTCATATCACAAAGCTAGAGTGGCCGAAATATTCAACAATATACTTGACATTTTTTAGAATATTTTAGATTTTTCTTGTTATTTTAGATTCAAACATTTTCGTTGGTTTTTATCTGAGAAAGTCTTAGGTTTTCAAACACTCTTGGCCATGTACCGATTCCATTAATGCAGAGTATATAATATATTGTAAACATGATTATAGCAAGCATCAAAGGGTCAAATTAAAGTTCTTATTTTAAAATAATCTCATAATCTTTCTGACCCACGCTCTTGTATTATTAAAATATTTATATATCTAGGGGTCTGTTTACAAAACTTAAAATTAAATTTTAGGTTTGGAGAATAAATGCAGGAACAAAATTTTGAAGAAAAAAATTGTTACTAGATGTTTTAAAACCTGCAATCCCCTCCCCCCTCATTTCCTTTTTTTTAATGTATTTTTTCTTCTTCGTAAAAGAGAAATGAAAGAAATGTTAAACCTTGCGGGATTTATTATCAGTTTAAATTTCACTATCTTACGAACGATGAATGTGATTGTATCTATCTATTCAACTTATTATTTTGCATGGCAACATTTCAAGTTTTCACAATTTTGTTTTTGTAAACATTTTTCTCTCCTTGAAAATCTGGGAATTTTTATTAATTTCAATTCATTTGAATCTTTCCATTCACAGGAAACAGAATTGTTAAAAGTTTTTATTATACACATGAGGATTTCATCTTTGTTTTCTTTGTAAATTATAAAATACGCGAAGAGGATTGTAAAATGTTTACGAGGCGAAGGTTTGCTTCATAGACACAGCAATATTATCAACCGGAACAATAGGGCAATATTCTTACAACTCCTTAATAAAACAACTATTCTTCAACAGGGCGTTCCAAAAAACTCAGTTCAATTTTTAAACTTCCTTTTCAACAGAAGCTCTGGTTCATTTCATGTGGCGGGTCGACTGTTAACCAGCTAGAGAAATTCTAGTGAAAATTATGTGTTTTGCCACAAACTCAGATTTTGTTTATCCCTACATTTATCTTTGCAACACGTTGTCGAAGTCCTTGGATATTATGATCAAATAATCTCAGTTTAAAATTTCATAGGATTGCACCATCAGATTTCAAAGACATAGAGATTAGACAATTTGAGTTTGTGGCAAAGTCCTTTTAAAGAGACACTTTTAACAAACTAATAATTCTAAAATCTTTGCCATTATAACCTAATATCGTAAATTTGTTTAATTGATATAAGTTCTACTTGATCAATTATAATAGAATAAAATATCGAACTAATCAAATGTATACACCGTAAAGTTGTAAAGATATGTGTTTAGAAGTGTTTAGAAGTCACGTCATAACTTTTGTATTGTGATCTTCGGATCATTAATATCTATCTTATGCAGATCTACAGATTAAATCAGTTCCTCGTAACAGTCTCGCAGGGATCAAGCTATGATCCTCAAATTTAAAAGTATAAATATAGGATATCGAGATCAAACGTTTATATCCGTTTAGTTCCGACCATAGTTTCTTCTGTTACATTTTTGGTACACTCGTCACGGCATTAAAAGATGCGAGGCAGGCAAACATACAGGCCGGCCCTTGTTTTACAAATATACCTAAATTTGAGGTAAAGACCTTGAACCGTCCCTCGCACCATTATGATCTCGTATCCTTTGGCTTATATCTAGGGGGCAAGGACATACAGGGCAACTATACTCATCAACACAATGTGTATACAGGGTCAACCACAAACATTTTTTTTAACATGATTAACAATAAACATTTGACCATAAAACCTTAAACAATAAAACCCAAACTGAATTGTAATTTTTGGTTTAGAAACACCCTTTCAATATTTTAACTAAGACTAGGATACACATTGAAGTGTACATACACCCTATAACGTGCAGGGAAATTTAAATTTTAGTTTAAAGAGGAAAACTTGGAAATTAGTGGAGGCAAAAAAACAAAATCAGGGTTTGGCTTTAAAAATTTGGGCAAAAGAGAATGTGATATGTCTATATAACAAAGCTCTTCGCTCATATATAAATATATACTAGCTGAAGGGCCCAGCGTTGCCCGTGAAAAAAAATTCTTTTAACCTATACACCCCCCCGGCCACAATGAAAAAAAAATTATTAAAATAAAATTTGAAAAAAATATTTAAAATTTTTTTTGGAAAAACAAATTTTCGTTTTTTTAACCTATAACAATAAATATTTAAGATTTCTACAGATATATTTTCAACTGTTCTAAAAAATGTTGAAATATTGTTGTTTCTTTTATCTTAACCCTATGCTGATTGTGCTATTTTTGTCTAATATAGATCGTTGGGGGGGGGGGTTTAACCCCCCCCCCCCGAATGTCTACAAAAAATTTCAGCCCAATCGGTCCAGCCGTTTGGCCGGCTATATATGTTTTATTATATAGAAGATTTGGGCCAGATCGGTTCAACCCGTTTTGACGTTTATTGGATACAAACGGACAGACAGATAGACAGACAGGCTGACAGACAAGCAAAGTAAATTTATAGAAAGATTTGCTGGAAAATTATATCGCAAACTTTTGCAGTTATTATTACAGTGTTAAACTTTTATAGAAAAACAACCTCAAAAGAAAACACAAAAATAAGAACTAATACTGCAGTGAAAATTTAGAAACAATGGAATTCTGATATTTTTCTTTTTCTTTTACTGAAATATGGATGAGAAGTTGTTAAAAAAAAGTGCTCTGAACATTTATAAAGATATCACGGGCAGTCGTAGTACATTTGAATTTCCGAGCCGGGTCAACCTTTCCGTTCCCGGTTTGTACTGTATCTGTATGTAGGTGCTTTATCTGATCAATAATGCTGAAAATATTCTTGTTTTTCTAGGTTTAAATTGGTTAAATAATGATAACTCCTATTTGCATTCCAACAGTAGAGAAACAACAATTGAAAATAATCTAATTCATGCCAGATCATCCAAAGCTTTTAAGTTTACCAATGTGAATCGGGCATGACCATCTTGGCAGGGAGGGTCGCTTAAAATTACGCGGACAGTTCCTTTAAATAAAGGGAAAACAATGTCGACACTATTTGGTCCTAACACTTCGCTCCCCTCTCGGTTTTCTTCAGTTTTAACAAGTCTATAAGTGATAACCTTAAAACTATAAAGTAGGAAGACGACTTTTGTACACAAGATATGCTTTTAAATAGTCCAATGTGCAGTGTAAACAGACCCATTATAGGTAATTAGTGATTCAATGAGCGTTTAATGA